AGCTTTTGGATATTCAAGACTGCAGTAAAAGATGAGGGCAGAGAAGGAAATAACTTATTTTAATAGGCCTGTATAGCTGAAGATACTGGCTACTGGATCTGTACCGCTGTTAATGTGCATGATCCCTACAGACAACTACTGTCACATCGGCAACAGGGACAGGCATTTGTAGCACCTGGAAACAAAGGGAAAATAGTTAGGTATTGTTTCAGGAAGAGGCATCTTTATGCAGCTAATACAATGCCCATAGCTGATCAGATTTAACCCAGGGTTGAGAATAGTTGGCTGCAGGTACTAATAGACCTGACTCTAAATAGAGCCTGTTTGCATTTGTATCCGGGGGCATGTTAACTGTGTGGCTGATAGGCGCTTGTAATGGCTATGAATAACTTCCTGTTGGTTTAGTTCCCTACTGAATGCCAGGGTAGTAGAGGTCAGAATGTGTGGTAATGGGAGTGGGTAGCTATTGAATTTGCTTATAGTATGAAACACTGTTCTTGGAGGAGGCAGCCAGAGGGTTTAAGCAGCATCAGTTCTAATGTGAATGAAATCTTAGATAGGGGATAGATTGGAAATGAAATATATTAAGGGTAGGAGGAGTCACTCAATCTAACTTGGTGGTGTATGTAACTGAGCTACACTGAGTGAATTCTAAATGGAGGATATTTAATGAATTACTTTTATAATAGCAGCACTGGCATAAGTAGTTTTTGTTTGCAACAGTATATTCCTGTTCTCACCCTTCCCTATCCTAGGCAGTTTGTTGGTATAAACACTTGCATGGTTATACAGTGATGCAGGTGAAAATTAAGTGCTTCTCTAAGGAATGGGAAGGTAAGAAATGACTATCAGCTAGATCAGTTTCTTGAACTAATTTATTATGTGGACACAAATGTTTGTTTTGGCAAGCCTGGGGGAGTAATGAGGGCAGAAATGGATTGGCTCATAATGGTGGCTGCTTAAGTAAGGCAGCTGTTGTAAGAATATGCCTAAGAACAGATGATACTGGGAAAGTGCTTCATGTTTTATTTGTAATTTTTTTTTTCATGTTATGTCTAAATAAAATTTTGTTTTGTTTTACTCTGGATCCTCAAAACTAGGCAAGAATGGTGAAGGATTAATCCTAATTCTGTGAGGTTGTTTATGGGGAGAGCTATTTCTGTTTCTGTTATCAACTTGTTTTCTTAAACAGTACACAGGATCACTATGGAATCAGAGTACTTACAGACCTAATGAGAACAGAGAAGTGGGCTGGCAACCTATAGCTTTTCTCTGAAATGGGTACATCCAAGAATGGAAGAAGGCTGTACTGACATGAATTTTCTGCTTTGTGGATGTATGGCAGTAGGATATCACACAGAATCCCAAGCTGGCTGTTAAAATACCAAATAATTTAAATGAGATTTTCTGCAGTGCTTGTTCTTGCTTGCAGCTTTTAATGAGGAATCTCAAACAGTAAAAGTACAGATCAACTGGTTGCAAGCTTGAGAGATCTTTGTGTGAAATCCGAAGACCAGGAGCATCTGGAATAATTGCTGCTGCAGTCATAAAAAATAATGTAAAGTGAAAGAAAACTTCCAGGATGCACAGCAATGTCCAATTTGCAGCAAGCTCAGGTTCTGGCTTTGTTAGTGATACAGTGAACAGCCTGGAGTACTGCACAATAAAAGTTTAAAAGTGTTCAGAATTTTGCAGGCTCAAACTGTTCATTAATTAAAGCAGACAATTTCAGATCTGAAGGAAAAATAAAAGCACAGCCGAAACTTTGCTGGCAGTTGTTTGATGGTTGAGTGTGCTGGAGCAAATACCTTTTAACTGGTCTCTCTGTCCCTCCCCCCCTTAGTTTTCAAGCCCAAAAGTGTGCTTTTTGTAGTCATAAAAAATAGGTATGTTTAAAGGAAACTTCGGAGTTGTGTAGCAGTATGTAGCTTGCAGAAAGCTCAGGTTCTGGCTTTGGTAAGGCTACAGTGGTGTGTGTTTGCAAGGAACTGTGTGCTGTCCCTTTTAGGTGATGTGTAGTGCAGCCCAGTAGTCTATACAGAGATGTGGTGATTAGAAATGAACCAGACCTCTGGCTTAAAAAATAGAGAAGGATATTTGGAAAGCTATGGAATGTTTGCAAGGTAAGTGTAAAGTTTTGTGGATTTTGATGGGTTCCAGTAAACCATAGCTTCATAGTAATTATTCCTTAAACTTTCTAGCTTATGGATTTGTTAAATAAGGAGCACATTTCTGTATAGAAGAGAAGGATAAGTCTGTTCTGGCAGACTTCATGGTTAGTAGCCTGTCTATACGTGGCTGTATGCTCCATTTCAGTTATGTAGTAGAAGATGTTACAGGAAACTGGGTGGAAAAGGTGGAGATTTGCACAATAGATTTTATGCTGATGCATTTTGTCTTCAAATAAAGTGAAAATAATTTGGCTTGAAGCTTGCTGTGTTGAAAGACCATTTTAAACCAGAATTTTTTATGCCAGGGTGCTTATTGTAATGTTAACACATCCTGTTTCCAGCCTTCTTTTCCAGAAAGTACTAAAATGCTTAACCTTTTAGTTATTTTCCTAAATAAACAGAAGACTGAAAGCCAAAAGAGTTATATCCAAGTTTTCAATTGTATAAGCAAAGCTAAAATAAACAATTGACCCCAAACCTGTTGTCCTGCAGGCTATATCCTGTTTACAGGTGTAAAAGCCTGTTTAGTGGGATGTAAGACATGGGTTTTCCATGCTACCTCTTGCCTGATCTACAACTTCTCTCTTGCTTTGTGGATTACTAGGGGCATCTTTGTATTTGGTGCTGGAAAACCAGTTATGTGAGATCTGTTTTGATTCACATTAAGCTTCATCCTGTTCATCAGCCAGTGGTGTTCTTCCCTTCAGTCTAGAATACCTTCTGGCCTTGTGGATTTGGCATGACTAATGGTCTCCATTAGTAGTCTGTATGTCTTGGTCCATTTTCTTTCCTGAATTCAGTTGAAGCTGTAAAGCATCTCTGAGTACAGAGAGGGTGCTTGCATTGCATCTTGCCTGAGCCCCTCTTACAGGTGGTGGCGATCCACTTGCCCTTGTTCAGGGGTAAGTAACCTCATCCTGAAAGATGGATTCCATTTGTTAAAAAAGCAGTTAAATGCTTTTAAGTAGAATAGTATTTTCTGTCTTTGAAAGACTGGAAAAGACAAGTTTTATTGTGGAACCTTACAGTAGCAAGTACTCACCAAGGGTATGACCACTGTTGATCCAGGATGAACACAACTCTACTCCAGTCTGATTTCAGTGTCTCTATCACTCATAATCTCATTGGTAATCCAGTGCTTAATTATTTCTCAAGTGCCAAACTATTATTTGAAGGGGGGAAGAATTCAGGGAAGCTAGATGAAAGTTCATTTCTGATTGGGTATCTTCTAGTGTTTAAAATATACCTGCTAAATCTCCTGTCTAAGAATCTGCTTGGATTAATAAGGGGTTGAGTTTTACTCTAAGGTAATCATTGGTGGCTTTCAAGAAATGATCATCTAACTTTTTATGTAAGAAAACCAAGATTTCTTTTACTGTATTCCATGAATATTCTAGGATGTATTTTACCAGTTTAAATGAAACAGAAATGAACTGGCAAGATTGATGCTTCAAAGGAATCTATAGTTGATCAAGAATACTTTGTCAGTTAATTGTTTGTAAATGTGTCTCTTTCTTATGCATGTAAAAGGGTTGGTATGTAAAAGGGTTGGTTTTTTTTTGTGAGGTCTTTCATCCCTTTGGTTGCTTGTGGAATACTAATGAAAGTAATGTATGTACATCATGTGGAAAATATGTTGGCAGACAGATACCTGCAGTATCTTAAATGCTTTGGCATTTTGTCTTTGTTTAATCAGCATAGTTGATCCCTGCTTCTCCTACAGGTTTATACTTTCAGAATAAGATCAAAGGTTTATATGAAAATTTAAGCAGAAGTAGAATTCACCTATTTTAGAGATGAATGAATAGATAAACAGAAACTTAAAAATCAAAGCCTTAGGCACTCTGGTCTCCAATATAAAATGTCTTGTAGGAACAATAATTACAGTAGTTATATATATTTAAAAATCAGACATCTGAAATGTTAGCCGAAGAATTTCCTGGAATTAAGCACCACTGTGATCAGACTTTTGTGATTTGTTTTTGTGATGCTTTCTAGCAGAGTAGATGTTTTATGCCCTGCCTGCATGCTTTGCTAAACTAATAAGCTGACTTGGCATTGAAAATGCTCTTGAGGAATGGCAAAGAAATCCCAATTCTCTTAAGCTAAAGTAACTAAAGTTAAAATATCCACTACAATTTTGGGGATATTCCATCTGCCTTTTTGTGGCGCTCATTCCTTTTGTTACCATTTATCTGCTTCAGATGGCACAGCGGGGTGGCTGTTCCATTGGGCTCTGCATTTGAAGCTGGATCCTCACCAGTAAATGCATTTGTGTTCAATTTGATAACACTTTTTATATGTGTCTAAAACCTTAGCTGTCGTATTGTGGTGCCAGTATGCTGCTTTTTCTTTGTAATCATGAACTTATGAGGGGCATGGTGAGTTATGCAGTTTCTAAGAAAACCGTGGGCCTTAATGTTTATGACAATGTTGTTCAAGTGACCTAGCTTTGGTACCTCAGCCCAGTGCTTCTCATAGATACACAGTTAAAGTCTAAATATTTGAGTTAATGAAATAGGAGAGAAGATTTCCCCAAGACAAACTTCACAATTTCTTAATAACAATATTCCTGCTCCTAAGCAGTTTGTCACACTGTGTGTTCCTTACTGGTTATCTTATAGTTTTTATCAGGTAGAATTTGTAAGTACCAGAAAGTTGAGTACTCTTTGAAATGGCAACATATTTATTCAAAAACTCTCAGAACAGTGTATTTACTCTCAGTGGAAACTGAGGCATTCAGTTTCAACTGCATTGCTGCAGCAACTTTAAAATAAAATAGGGAAGTTGGGGTTTTTCACCTTGCACATAATAAGATCAATAGTTCTCCATACTCCTGAACTGCACAACACTTAAGTACAGTTTAGAGTGAGAGACGCTGACTACTGAACTCAGAATTGTCTAAGAAATATGCCAGAATTGTGACTTTACAGGAATAAGCTTTTCTCAGTTATTATCTCACCTTTAATATTTTGCAATGGAATTAAGAGCAGACATAGAACTGTGATTTATTTGCGATGTTCCAGTTTTCTATAGCCTTTTGCTAGGGAGTTCACTTAAATGTGTATCAAAATTGTGTTTGAAACAGTTACTTTTACTATTCTTACAACAAGCTTTTCCTTTGTTTTAGACAAAATAGGAAATAGGACCAAATGTCTTGTGTGTTCTGACTTCTCTGTATGTATGTGCATCTCGTTGGTAGAAGTAACGTGTTATTAATGCTACATGAGGCTGCTGCTCTTATTGCAAAACAAAGTCACTCTATAGGCAAATCCCAAGGTACTGTATAGTTCTGTTGTCTCTTGGGCAGGTTTGCAGGATCATATTACATCCGGCACTAAATGTCATAAGTTTCAGGAGGAATTTACTATTCTTCCAAAATGTAAATTAAGGAACCCTTCCCCCTCGCTCTTGCAGATAATAATGCTAGTATCTGAAGCTGTGCATACCGGGGAAGAAAATTCTGCCTGAACTACAAAGAGATCTCGTGTCTACTTGCCACAGCATGTTTTTGAAGTCTTTTGTGTAATAGCAACTGTTTTAAAGCACATTTTGTTGAGGAAAAATTGCAGTGGATCATAAACTGAGAAGGGCAGGCTTGTTTCTGATGTGTGTGAGAATATTCAATCTGATGAACATTGATGTTAGTCCAAGAAAAGACTGACTAGTTTGAAATTTGTTTTAGCTCTCCTCAAAAAGATATGGATAAGAAGATGGATGAAGAGCAGCCTCTGACTGCATGTAGCCAGTACCCTAAAGAAGCAGTGAGGAGACGTCAGAGCTCGGGTCAGGGTTCCAGGGGCAGCGATTCTTCCAGGACCTCCAGGAAAAGCTTCAGGCTAGACTACAGATTAGAAGAGGATGTCACTAAATCAAAGAGAGGCAAAGATGGGAAGTTTGTCAACCCATGGCCAACGTGGAAATCACCGACCTTGCCAAATGTTTTGAAATGGTCCTTCATGGAAAAAAATAATAGCAACGTGCCATGCTCGAAGCAGGTAAATACTTGCATGTTTTCTGTTCTTGATTGAGACTGCTGTTATTTATTAATTATGTTTATTAATCAGTAAGATAGAACAGTTTCTAACTAATACATATTAGTCACCTTTTGGAGACTTTTCCAAGTCTTCTTTTTATGATTTTATTATCACCCATTCTTTTCAAAAGATGGGTTAATACTTTTTGCCTCTATTTTTTTCTCTCCTTTCTGTTAGTTCCACACCCTTTGATTTATCCAGTTCAGTTTATATTTACAAAACCAGCAAAAATGGTTCCCCAGCTGAGTCATAAACTACAGTTATACTCTTTCCTTTTTAATACATGTTGCCTTGGGAAGCATACTGCTGAACATCATTTGTACTGCATGCAGTAGCTGTGGCATATCTCATTTTACGCATTTTGCCTTTTTTTTTCTGACTGCCATTTACTACATAAATAACATCTCTTTTTATATTTTTAAATAAAAATGTAATAACTTGTTGCTGCCATTTACTTATGAAAGTGTTTCAAATCTGTGTTTTTCTGCCTCAGTACACCAGGAGAAAAAAATGCCTATGTTAAAACGAGCCTGAGCAGGTATTTGTTCTGAGATACTAAAAGTACAGAGCCAGTTTACTGGGAAACACCATTATCTGTTCTTGCTGTATTGCTTCTGTCAGATAACTGTATATAAAGAAGGAGGTGCGGAAGCAACCTCTGAGAGAAGCTTCTTTTCCATGAAGAGTTGTAGATACTGGAAAACCATGGGTTATCTTTGTGGCTACAAGGAGCATTATGGTGGCTACAGCTTGGACAGCTGGGATAACGTCTCGGTGTATTTTCTGATGTGTTGACTGCACTTTGGAAAAGCTGTGCTGAAGGATGCACAGCCAAGGAAAGCATTTGTGAACAAATAGGTGGTGTTAATGCTGTTAAGCATCTAGGAAGGCACGCATAAGCTATAAATCTCAGTCAGTATTTAGAAAAGAGCTTACGCTTTTAATTTTTATCTTACGGAATTACCTGCAAAAGAAGGAATTTGATCATCTTTACGAACAGGAAAGCAGTCCTACTACCACATGATGATCAGAGGTTTGGGGATTTCTTAAGGATATGTGGCATGGAACATGTTTAAGAGAGAAATAATCTCAGCTATAATTGTTCTATTATAATAATAATTTACCTTCAGAGAGAAGCACAGCAAACATACGTCCATCTTGTGTGCCTTACACCAATTTACTGTTTTAAATATGGAGTCCTGCTTCTAGACATTATGTGCACCATTAGTAGTAACAGCAATTGTGCCTCAGTGTGTACTGCTTTCTAAGCAGTGTGCTGCATTCTCATACTTTGGCCCCATTTGTGTAGAATTTGTGCCTTGTCATTTTCAATTGCCTTTGAGCCACTGCCCTGTTCCCTATGTGTAAAACAGGCTTCCTATCTTGCCAGCACCAGGGGGTAACCTGGTTAGTGACTGAAGTACCTAGAAGGCAGTGCTAAGGTACTACAGAGTGCAGAATATACAGTTCTCTGATGGCAGTGGACAACTGCAGCACTCTAATTTACAGATTATCCCTGCAATAAGGGATGATTACAAAGAAATCTACACTGTGTCAGTTGTAAAGCTGTCTCTCTGACCCAGCTGGGATTCATTTTGAACTAATTTTATTGCTTTGCATATGAAATTTTTTAATTAAATGTCTGCAATTATTCAGGAGACAGTGAAATAAATCAGAAATGGGAAAACCTAGATAGGGATCAATGAAATGCACTCCTGAGACCTCAGCCATTTTGATGCTTGTTCCAGCTACATTTGTTCCATGCCTAAATCAACCTGTAAAGTGCTTCTGAGCTTGTTTAAAATTCAGACTAAGGGCTTCAGACTAAGGACTCCATAGCTTATTTAGCACTGCTAGCTAGCATGTCCTTCAAGCAGACTCGTACTTCAGTTTCCACGTTGAGTGTTCCTAGTGCTACCCTGCAGTGCTGGGCAGGTTCAGTTTATCTGTACCAAGTGCTTTGCATATGGAAAAAAGCATATTATCCAGGATATGTACTTCACTCTTGAAAGCTACAGGTATTATAATCATGCCTTCACAACAAGTCTGTATCATTGCCCAGAATGCATAGGTTTCTTGTATTTTCATTGCAGACTTTATTAATAACTCTTTCTAGTACTGTTTGGAGTATCTTTAATTACTGGTTGTTGGATCAGCCTTTTAGATTGTTCTCATTTCTTTAAAATCCAGTGGTATTCCAGTATGCACTAAGTACCAAAAAATCCTCAGCTAATTAGTCTTACCAAAGCCCGTCATGTGTTTCTTCTTGCTTTGCATTAGGAAGGAAAGGAGAACACGGGAGGGGGAAAGGGCACAGCAGGAGGAATTTTGGTATTACTCTAGTGATGAAGATAAGCCAGTTTTAGGCATGTTTTGCTTCTGTTGGTAGCTGGTTTGATGTGAATGCCATAATTCAAAGATCTGTTACAACTCTTGTAGTATTAATGTGTTTGGTTGGTCTGACAAAGAACAGATTAAAGTCCCATAAGTTTATGTATTTTGTTCATTATTTGTATTCTGTTGTATGAGTTTTAAGAATTTCATATGCAGTATACTGCCAATAGAAGTTGTGTTTTAGTTTGAAATCTTACAAGTTGAGTAGTGAGTCCTTATTGCTTTAAAAGGTAATTGTGGGGATTTTATAAATGTTTAATATATTTTAAAAAACCCAAACAAGCATAGTCCATGCACTGAGAAGGAATTTCTTTAGCTATTTCCCTGTGTGATTTACTGTGATAGCTCAACAAAATGCCTGAGGAATCATTGAATCAAAAATCTCTGAGGAATCATTGATTTGGACCATAGGCCTGTGTATCACAGACCTGTAGATCATCATATGGACTCTGTGCTTTCCCTGTTACGCTGCCTTTGTGCTCCTGGTTTGCCTTCAACTTTTGTTCACACAATTTCATTTAAGTAGATCAGGATACCAGTCCTTTGAACTGTGTTACTCTTTAGTTATCAGTCTTCCTGTGTTTCCTTTACAAATGCCTTTTGTAGTGATTAGTTCTACTTTTATATCAACTATTCAAAATACTTAATGGTGTCAATGCCGCTGACATTCCTGTAAAGCCTTTAATAGTGCAAATGTGTTAGGGTTTTACCTGAGTAGGCAGCTAACCCCCATACAGCCACTTGCTCACTGGTGGAATTGAAAGGCTAAAAGTGAGAAAACTTGTGGGTTGAGATAAAGACAGTTTAACGGGTAAAGCAAAAGCTGAGTGTGCAAGCAAAGGAAGAAATTCATTCACCATTTCCCATGGGCAGGCAGGTGTTCAGCCATCTCCAGGACAGCAGGGCTCCACCGCATGTAACAGTTACTTGGGAAAACAAACACCATCGCTCTGAATGACCCCCTCTTCCATCTTCTTTCCCAGCTTTCTATGCATATGAGCATGACGCTACATGGTGTGGGATATCCCTGGGGTCAGTTGGGGTCAGTTGTCCCAGCTGTGTCCCCTCCCACCTCCTTGTGCACCCCCAGCATACTGGCTTTGATGCTGTGTAAGCACTCTTCAGCAATAGCTAAATCATCTGTCTGTTATCCACGTTTTTCAGCACAAAGCCAAAGCACAAAGCCAAAGCACCGTAAGAGCTACTAGAAAGAGAATTAACTCTATCCCAGATGAAACTAGTACAGTATGTTTGAGTCCCAGTGAAGAACTTATTGTTCACATCTGCCAATTAGCATTATTTGATCTATTGCATGATGCTAATTTTGCAAACTAGTTTGTGTCTATGTCAGCAAAACTAAAGTGGATTCATTTAAAGTTCTTAAATTAATTTCTAGTCTACCTCTAAAACTAGCTCCTTAAAAAGAACATTTTCCATTAAAATGTGCTTGCTGACCTAAATTGCATTATTACAATTAATTATTAAATTTCATATCTGAATATTAATTTCTTTGATAGAATCTGATTTGTTGACTTAACCACGTGTAATATGTGGGTTGTCCTAACTTCCATTTTGGAGTATTATGTTAATTTTCTGGCTCTTCAACCTTTTTACTTATTTTAAGCTGAAGTACCACAATATAACACACTCTGTTGTACAAATTTCTCCTGCTGGTGTCATTCCCATGTACCTAGAATGAAATAAAGTGATGCTTTTTTCTTGGAGAAGCAGCAGTTTGTCTCAGTCTAATACTCATACTTTGTTTCTTCTTATATGAATTAAGTGATTGTATTGTGCTAACCTTACATTCAGTTTTATAGAAGACTATTTCTCATTCCTGAAGACAGTAATGAAACTTTTTCAGTAGATGTGTCTCGTCCATTAGCTCTCGGAGAAAGCAATGTCATGAATGTTTTATTACGTACAGTGGAGTTTCAGGGGGGTGGAGGGGTGTGTGTGTGTGTTTTGTTCTTTCCCACCATATGCCCTCCAAATCAATAAAATATTGTGGAGAAAATAACTTTCCTGAAGCTGTCAGGACTGTTTTAGCAAGGGAAGCCCTAGAATCTGTAAATCACAGCATCAGCTGAGCTTTTAAGGCAGCAGGAGGTCAGCTGTGTATAAGCTTGCTGATAGTGTTAATCTACTACCCTAGACCTAAAGAACTAGAGCAGCAACCATTGCAGGGAGGGCTTCACTGGGAGCCAAGGTGCTGGGACATCTGTGGTTACCAGGGAGAGAAGAGTGTCAGGAGTCTGTAGAAGCTGCCAAAACAGGTAAAATCTTCTCAAGTGATACAAGGAGTTCACACCAGAACTGTTTGGGAGGAGAGCCTTATCCACACTGTGGCTGCACTGGAGGTGGTCAGGAACTCCAGGAAGACTTTGGTTGCTTTGATTTGGTTTGTGTTTTTTTTTTTTTGTTTGTTTGTAGATTGTTTTTTTTGGGGTGGTGGTGGTGATGGTCATTATTATTATTGATTAGGAAAACTCTTTTGTATTACAAACAAAACTTGTGCACAAGCATCTCAAGCAAACTGCAGGCAGAAACATAACTCCAGTTCAAAATGAGAGGGTGTGTGGTTGTTGGAGATGGGTTTCCGTAGGTAACATGCAGCCATGGCCCCCTTTGTGTCATCTTGAAGCTACACATAGAGTGCAGTTTGGAAGCCGATCGAGCTTAAAGCTGTCTGTTTTCCTCCTCTGGATTAATGTTCAGCTGGATCGGTTCTCTGACCTGCCAGACTTAAGCGAAGACTGCACAAGTATTTATGGTGGAACAAGAGGGCAAGTGGGGGATGGTTTCTTTGTTATACTGGAGTATGGATTTAGGTTGATTTGAAGTTGTTCGTGGGGACTGCATCTTGAACATACAAAGAGATCAGTATAGTGATTTATTCAGTAATAATTAATCTTTAATTACCTTGAAGGCTTCAATAAAACATCATGAGAAGCACAGCTAAGTGCCTTAAGGTCCATCTTAAAAATGAATTTGTTTTTTGAATGTTCATTGGATTACTGGCAGGATGGGAAAAGAGAACTGTAAAATCCATCATCAGCCAAGTGAGGTGAACCTCCATGTGCTGCTTCTGTATGTAATGGGGAGAGAGGGAGGGTCTTATAAAGGCTAACAGAACAGCTTTTGTGGAGTGCTGATGGGAAAGTGGCATTCTCTTTCATCTGTGGGTTTGCAACTTACTTGTGCTAGGACTTAGGGGATGTATCATCTAGTGCAGGAGCTAAATCTGAGCATTTCTTACAGTAACAATGTGTGTGTACGTATATATATATAAAAGAATATATATATATAAAAGAATAAATACATATATATATATGTATATGTATTTATTCTTTTCCAGGTCGGAAGGCCAACTGATTAGAAAGCCTTTCCCAGGAAGCTGTTGTGCCTTGTGGTGCTTTCACCATGATGCTGTTGGAGACTCTCTGTTAGTAGGTCTCCTGGCCTGATGGGATACTCTTAAGCTCTGTCTTCTCTCGACAGAGAAGTGAAAATGTCACAAAAACCTAAGGTGAATTTAAGAGAGAGTAGGTGGGAAAATGGTCATTAAAAAGGCATCTAGTTTGTGGTGCAGTTCTGCAATTGTCTGAAAACATTGAACAAAGTGCAAGTCTGACTGTAATGATTTGTGCCTTTCATGCAGTTTTTGTTCCCCACCGAGTACATTCTGGAACCTGTCATGCATGTTGTGTTCTCTTTTGCTAGGAACTGGATAAAGTGCTTCCTGTGTTAAAACCTTACTTTGTTGAAAAGCCAGAACTTGCTGGAAAGACAGGAACTGGTCTGCGAGTCACGTGGCTGGGACATGCTTCCGTTATGGTGGAAATGGATGAACTTATATTCCTTACTGACCCAATCTTCAGCCAGCGAGCTTCCCCCACTCAGCTGGTGGGTCCCAAGCGCTTCCGAGGACCTCCGTGCACCGTAGAGCAGCTCCCCAAGATAGATGCAGTCATGATCAGCCACACTCACTATGATCACTTGGACTACAACACTGTAATGAGTCTGAATGAGCGTTTTGGGAGTGAGCTGCGCTGGTTTGTGCCTCTAGGGCTGTTGGGCTGGATGCAGAGATGTGGTTGTGAGAATGTGATAGAACTGGACTGGTGGGAAGAGAACTGTGTCCCTGGTCATGATGCGGTAACTTTTGTCTTCACCCCTTCGCAACATTGGTGCAAAAGGACTGTGATAGATGATAACAAGGTTCTTTGGGGCAGCTGGTCTGTCTTAGGACCATGGAACAGGTTTTTCTTTTCAGGAGATACTGGATATTGTGTTGCTTTTGAACAGATAGGCAAAAGGTTTGGACCTTTCGATCTTGCAGCCATCTCCATTGGAGCTTATGAGCCAAGGTATGAAAATCAAAGTTTGATCAAAATACATAAGAGAAGTTATATACCGATGACAGAAAAAACGCACCCAGAAGTGCATCAGTGGTAATGCTTTATTTAGAATATATAATAGAATGTAGAGGTGAAAGAAAGTGCTGAGGTGAAAGGAATGGCCAAAAAAAGCAGGCAATGGGAAGATCAATCATAGAATACCAGCTTGGAAGGGACCTCAAGGATCACCTGATCCAACCTTTCTGGACAAAGCATGACCTAGACTAGATCTTCCAGCATGCTATCCAACACTGGGGAGTCCACCACTTCCCTAGGAGATTATTCCAATGGCTGATTGTTTTCACCGGCGAAAAGTTTTCCTTTGTCCAGTTGGAATCTCACCAGGAGTAACTTATGCCCATTACCCCTTGTCTTGTCCATGTGACTCCTTGTAAAAAGGTAGTCCTCATCTTCTTTGTAGCCACCCATTCAGATGGAGCTGAAATGTTCAGGGTACTTGCCTGTGCGTATGTGATATTCTTGGAGAGTTTTTTCCTCTTAAGCACAGCACGGCTGAATCAGCTGCCTTTTTTCCATGAAAAACATTGAGTAAAAATCTGGAATTACTTTGTGGCTTTTATTCTGAGATACTATCACTTAATCCAGCCCACTTAATGTGTGCAATTTGCTGCATTTTACTCTTGCTTGAGTCTTTGCTGGTTTTGCAGCTTATCTGGAGATAAAGATGACTCCTTTATATAGAGCGTGAAAGATCTGTTCAGGCATCTGGATCCTACTTATGATGGGGTATTGAAACTTTTAGATGGTAACACACACAATGCTGGAAGCAAAGCATGCATGGGCTGGGAAAGGAAGATAGGAATCTGAACAATATGGCAAAAATATGGCATCTTTTAGGAATTATCAGGTTCCCTCTTCTGCTTTTCCACCGCTCCCTTAGGCTATCTTCTGAAGCACACACGTTTTGGTGTGCACTGCTAGCATGATTTTTTTTTCAGGGATGATTTAAGTCTATGGCCTTTATGCCTCAAGGCACCAGAAATCATAGAATCAACTAGGTTGGAAAAGACCTTTAAGATCTAGTCCAACCATTACCCCAGGACTGCCAAGCCCACCACTAAACCATGTGATTGATGGCTCTTCTACGCGTGTTTTGAACAATTGCAGGGATGGTGACTCCACCCCTGCCCTGGGAAGCCTTACTGTGTCCTTAGACTACTAAAAATACAGACCTGTTTGAAAAAGGGAGGGAAATACATGAACTGCTGTTTTGTGGATATGTTGGTATATTTCAGCTTGTTGATTTTGAGTGTTTTCTATGTTGATCACACATACATGCATTGGTATTTCTGGGTTTTGTTTGGTTTTAGATCTTTGTAACATAGCCAGTGAAAGTCAGAAAGAAATCTTGCACTGAACTAGGTGACACAAAACCGTTTACTTTGTGTTTTGATAGGTGGTTTATGAAATACCAGCATGTGGATCCTGAAGAAGCAGTAAGAATCCACATTGATGTTCAAGCAAAGAAGTCTGTAGCAGTTCATTGGGGGACCTTTGCTTTAGCAAATGAGGTAAATTTCAACACTATAAATGAGTTCAGATTTCCTGAGCACATAGTCACTGATAAAGCTTTGCTCATGCAGTTTAAACTACATACCTGTAAATGTATACTTAATCTTGGCATGAGTGAAAAGTTATTACTGTTTGTACGGTTGTTCAAAACAATGCTTAGCTTTGCATAACCAATTACATAAAATATGTCTATGGTTAAGATTAATTTGAAGTACAGAGTTACTGAAACAAATGTGGTGGGTTTCTGATATCTGACAGCTGAGCAACATGCAGGGTGGGTATGTGTGTGCAATATGGAGGCAGTAAGAATTGCATGCCTGTATATCAGAACAGTATTTAGTAAATAAATTGCATAGTATTTTTGATAATAGATTCATAGTTAAATACCAGCAATAACATGAAAAACCTGAAAATTCTGAGTTGCTGATTTTTTTGAAACATATTTATACACCACCCCTTCCATTCCCAGTCCCCAGTTGTAATAAGGAGGTTACCCAGGTACCTTCACAGTGACAAGAAATGCAGTGAGAAAGAAGTACTTACATTTACTTTGACACACCTTATCTGGTAGCTGGTTTCCAACTTTCTCTGTGCAGCAGTTGCAACACTTCATCTTACAGTTCAGGCCTGATGCTGTTACTTCTATTCATCTGGTGTGTCATGCATTCTTTGACTTGGATGCACCATTTTCAATCCACAGTGCTGCCAATGAGCTGTGTCACTTGTGCCCACAGTACAAACACTATTATGTATTTAGAAGCACCAAACCCTGGATGATTTCTCCCTGATACTGCCTTTTCTGAAAGGTAACAAACACAATGAAGTAACCTCAGGGCACCTCACAGGACTGGCACTAGTTTTGAAACAGTAAAGTTGACAACTTCGTTTTACTAAACGAGAGAAAGCGCCATCTGCTGACTTGCGACCTCTTCCTTCTCTGCTGTATCGGCTTCTCGGGGATCTAGGTCAATATGCTGAAAACTGAATTTTGGATGTCAGGTTGTCCCTTGCTAGTTACTCTGCAACTGTAAATAAGTATTCTTATAGTTTAAAAACTGAAAATGAACCCAAACATTTTAATTTGACAAATATCCTTCTCCCCCTTCTTAGATGTTTAAAATGTAATCCATTTCTTGTGCAGAGCAGTGATATTTCCCCCGCCCTGCCCCCCCCCTACCCTGCAAATGCTGCAATGGAATGTTTTTTCTCATGTTATTCTCATTTTTCAGTATTACCTGGATCCTCCAGTTAAACTGAATGAAGCTCTTGAAAGATACGGCTTGAAAAAAGATGACTTCTTTGTCTTAAACCATGGAGAATCACGGGACTTGAGTACAAATGATGGGTTTGAATAACAAAAGAGTAGCAGATCCCTGTAAGCCCTCTTTGATTTGAGCTAGCAATTAATGTTACAAATATTACTAGGATGTACTTGCAAAGTAGATTTGGGGGGGGGGTGAATTGGATTTGTAGATGCTGGGTTTGTCGGTTACAGAACTAAAACTTGCATACCAATTTCATGCTAAATTTCACTAGTTATATTGTTTATAAATTTTGAGGTGATGGAAGAACTGGTTAATATGTAAGGTATTGTCTGGGAATAACTTGCAGTTTCAACTCTTATGTACACCACTGATAAATTACTGGGGTTTTGGGGGCTTTTTTGAACTCTTCATCTTACCTGCAGCAGCAATAATAACCTCAGTGCAGGACATACTCTTAGAGTTAATGGCTGACTTGAACTAGTTTTTGTTAGAATGTCATCTCCCACTTGTTGGTCATTAATCTTCAGTTTATGCCCTGTACCTCGATAGCTTCACTGTATGTTTTGTGGGGTGGAGTCTTCCAATACAGCTGTGTTGTTAAGCACAAGCACAGTAAAAGAATTATTTTACTGACTGCTTCTACATTTTCATATACTGACGAACCACAAAAGCTGCATTTTACAGTGATATAAAGAAACGTGCCTTTCAGAGATAGACATAGTTTAATATTGCGTCACTCGTGTAACACTTAACTGCTGGCCAGAGTATTCTTTGTTTTGTCAATGTTTTTAAGTTAGGCCAGAACATGTCTAAATGCAGTACATGAAATGGAAGAATCCCTTAATGGCACTTGTCTTTACATTGACTCAGCCTATTACTAAGTACTTTTAAGTGAAATATATTTAGCAAGGGCTGTGGTATTCTTTTTCTTACAGCTTCCCTGTAATTTTTAAGTTGAATGAGAGATGACAACATTGCTCACTATTGTAAAACTTGGCTAAATGTATCTGAATCAAATTGCCATGCTAATTTACAGAATTAAAGCCTATTATTGCCAATAAAAAGGGTTGTTATTCTCCTTCATGATTCAATGGCAAATGATTTTTCTGTCAATGATTTGTTTAGGTCTGTGGGGGATATGTATTTTTTTGTTGTTGTTCTTGCAGTGCATTATATTTTATGTTCAGAATCCATAAATCTAAATAAAAAGACACATTATTTCCCTGCTATTTAAAAACATGAACTTCCAGCAACCAGTTCAAACCAATTAATGAGATTTCATGCTATGAGCAAACTGAAGGAATCTTTTAACTGTTGGGAAGTGCTACAAGTCTTAAACATCTTAATACCAACAAAAAACAGCACAAGGAGGTAAAAATCCATTAGTCCAAGTTCATGCTGAGAGAGGGTTCAGGAACAGAGGGCTACACTTACATGTAAGAAAACGTAGCTTATATTCCTCTGGTGAGATTCATATTTGACAAATGTCAGGATTTCTTTATTTGAAAAGGTTATTCTAATATGGCCTAGATGTATTCACCAGAATTTGTTCAGAACTAGTTTAAAAGTACTCTCAGTCATTTGGTGTTCATTTTGGGAGGGTATTTCAGGTGAAGTCTCTACTGGGCCTCTTATTTACACAACAGCTTCAATAACAAATTGGATAACATAATGCATCTCATGTTCATAATATTGCGAAAGACACTAAGCTGTGCAGGATGCATTGAGTACTGTGAAGGGCGTGGTTAAAACTGATGTGTTTTGTTTGTTTTCCTGTTTTCAGAAACATCAGTAGACTCTTCTGTAAAATTCTGTACTTTAGAAAGAAAGTAAAATACAGAACACAGATAAGCAGCCACAGAGCAGAGAAGTACTGACTTATGAGAGTCAGAGACTAAATGTCAGTAACAGCATACATTTCAGTTTGGATCTGTTCACTCACAGCATTTATATGTAGAATGGTGTCTCTTACACTTGGCTTGGTGCTGGTAAGATTTCATCTAGGGTGTGGGATAAAAAAGTTAGACATTCTGGTGTGAAGACACTTTGGAGAGCCTTGCATGATTTCAAAACACATTAACAGTGTTGTTCTATGAGGAAAGCACTTACTGTAACAAGGTTTCATGTACTTTTAGAAAAGGGGACAGTGGTTACTTGTTTCTGACAGCTGTCAAAGGCTAATTATCAAAAGGATGATATCTGAAAAACAACTTTTTAGGTCACAGAACAGAGAGGGACATCTAAATATCTTTATTGCTGAGCTTCAGAAAACTTGTATGTATCAGCTATACCTAGAACAGACTAGTCCAGGCTAGTCTTAAGTTCTTGTCAGAAGAGAGAGGTGAGATTGGCAAATTCTTTGTGCCTGACTTAGCATTTGTTTTCCTTTGTTAAATACAGAAGCAGAAAAAAAAAAAATCTACAGAAAGTGGCAAAGCATTAATTGTAACTTGTTTATTCCAAAATGAGCAGTGGTTTTGGAGCAGTGGGAAGGAGAAAGGGACGTTCAGTGTCAACGCAACAATTGTCAGGGTTCTGACTGGGAATCAGGCCAGCTTCTGTTTCTGTCTTGATTGCATTCCTGATGAGTTAAAACTACCCGGGTAGATGAACTGGATACATGTAGCTTTACCCCCGTATTGATCAGAGTGTGTTGTATTATCAGGGTCACATTCTTCTTGCAGCTTTAGCTATTTGCAAAGTTGCCTACTGAAAATAAGTATCTATTGAATTTCAGAAAGAGTCAAGAGTAATAATTCAGTGAGAGTACATTGGGTATAGTAACGTGGCAAGGTGAAGCATCTGGTAAGAGTATAGGCAATACAGCTCTTAAAAATGGTACAAGGGTGGAAAGCTTGTTTTCTAGCCTTTATAGCTGACACTTCTTACTTATTCTATGATGCGCTATTGCGGAAGCTTTAAGAGTCTTCATTTAGTATGAAGTATTTTCTAGTATGCTTTATGTTCATCAATGAAACTTCCTTCAGGTTCTTTTACACGATGTTTGTACATTCTCCATTTTGAGTTAACACTGGATTGATAACTAAAACTTTATGGAGGTCTTATTCTGATGATGTTCCAGTTGCAGAGAAAAAAAGAGTAAAACTCCCCAGGGAAAACAGGCTCAGGGGCTGCTACAGGACAAGAAGCTGGTGTAAAAATGTGGATGATACTGCTTTAATATAGACTTTTTAAAATAAATGTAAGAATGTTGAATTGCAGATAAGCTTTGACTCATAACAAAATATTTTGAAAAATATGTATGCTTTCCTTAAAGTGACAATTTTAAAGCAATATAAAATTCTTTTGCTTTTATTCAAGTATAAAAGTCTTGATGGTTGTGGCTGATTGCACTGCAGTTTAGCTAAATGGGACAGATACACTAAGTGTATGAGAACATAGTTTCATATATTCCGTGCAGGTAAGGTGAAAAAACACAGGCTGGGGAACTTCAATAAGCAGTTTGCATTGCAAATACTAGTTTTGTAGGAAGCTGATGCTAGTTTGGCATTGGTTTTATTTATTATTTTCTAAGATTTGCCTGCCCCCATTGAGTAGATGTCAGATTAATAAAATGTAAATGCCTAATCTCTAATTGCTGAACCTTCAATGCATCATTCTATAAAAGTATTTATTGAACAGCTGCAAATACGGTAACAGAAATTCTTTATGATACTGAGAATATTTTAATTAGTTTCTCTATTTCAGATGCTCACTGTACATCTGCAAGTTCAAGTTTTGAACTATTCCTCCCCCTTCTATACATGTACCAGCTGTCCAGTTGTTTCTCAGTATTAAGCTATTGCTTTTATCTTGTTCATTAAAAAAATGTTATGCTCTATTAAATACATTGAATTTTCTTTTGTAGTAACTGATTTGCCAGGCTGAGAAAGTTGGGACTGTTCAGCTTGGAGAAAAGAAGCTGCATTGAGACTTCATAGCAGCCTTCCAGTATCTGAAGGGAGCCTGTAAGGATGCTGGGGAGGGACACTTCATTAGGGACTGTAGTGACAAGACAAGGGGTAACAGGTTAAAACTTCAACAGGGGAAGTTTAGATTGGATATAAGGAAGAAATTCTTTCCTGTTAGGGTGGTGAGGCACTGGAATGGGTTGCCCAGGGAAGTTGTGAATGCTCCATCCCTGGCAGTGTTCAAGGCCAGGTTGGACAGAGCCTTGGGTGACATGGTTTAGTGTGAGGTGTCCGTGCCCATGCCCATGGCAGGGGGGTTGGAACTTGATGATCTTAAGATCCTTTCCAACCCTAACTATTCTATGATTTGTGCCTAATAATATGGTACTATTTAGTACTTCTGGGGTTGTTTTATTGTTGCTTTTGGGGGGGGGTTTAGCCCATCATTCCTAAGGCGAGATATTTTCATCAGGTCAGTCTGTTTGTTTTAAAAAAGGAATCACTACTGTGTTAATATCCTCACAACTTGCTCTTTCACTTCTGCATCAGGGTGATGCAACAAAGACGCCAGTTTCTGAGCAAATGCAGTAGAGTCCCCACAGAGTGTAAAGAAAATGGAACTTTCATTGTACCGGTCCATGGTGCCATCTCTGTTCACATTCTTTTTCAAGTTTGCTGCAAACACCAGGGCTCTAAGCAGAATATCTCTGTTTGTACAGTTGTCAAGAAGTAACAGCAACGTTGGCACCTAGGATACACAAGAAATAATCCACACTTAATCAACAGCACTAAGTACGTGCAACTAAATCTTACAAAAAATGAAACTAAAATAAATCTACACCTAAAGCATCAAAATCAGAAACCCTGCCAAATACCAGAACTCCATATGCTGTGAAAACAACACCAGAAACTTGCCCAGCATGCACGTTTCCGCTGTGAAAGGACTGGCTTGCGCATCACAGGCTAATAAATGCTTTGTATGTTGAATCTCCAAAACACAGCTGTCTGGAAAAAACATCTTCCATCATTAAACACGGCTGTCTGGAAAATTCCCATTTGGGAGAGAAGGCCTGCTTTCCCCCTCGATGATGTTGCTTTTGCCCTCTGCAGTGCTCTGAATGTTTTTGTTAGCACATCTGATAAATGAGATAAGGATCCACTTTTGACAGGACTGAGTATTTAGCTAACCTAATCTTGTTTTAATAATGAGAAGCCAGCAGTATCTAGACAAGCTTTGCTCATAGCAGATAGCTAGCTCAAAAATAAAAGGCACTGCATGTTTTAAGGAACTTAGTTTGGGGAGGAAGATGCAGCATCATTTCCATCCCTAACTCTGTTTTGATGTGAGGAAACGATATGAAATATACACCTGTATGCCAAGGCCAGCAACAGTCAATGTCAGATACAGTTCTGCAGAAAGACCTAAATCAACGCACAGGGAAAGTTTACTTATAGTGATCAGAAACAACATTTTTATGTCTGCATTTGAGTAAAAGAGTGGGGATCTCAGTGGAATTTGGTTACAGTGCATACACATGTAGAAATGCTAAAAATATAATGAAAGAGCAAGAACCTTACTTGACCTCTGAGAAGATGCCTTGTCATGGCTGGGTTTGCAGATAAGTTCACAAGTACTTTCAGAACTTGAATCTGAAATGAGGAACACAAGTTTACTGCAAGCTCCAAAACCAGTGAGTACAGGAGTAATGGCCATCAATATCAGCGCTGACTTGGAGAGGAAAAAGTAGAATGGGTCAACTAACATCATGAGTTGTGACTTCAGTCAAACTGCTAAAGGGTCCTACAAGAAATCTGGAGAGGGACTTTCTACAAGGCCATGTACTGATAGGACAAGGGGGAATGGCTTTAAACTGACAGAGGAGAGTCTGAGATTAGACACTAGGAAGAAACTCTTTCCTACAAAGGTGGTGAGGTGCTGGCACATGTTGCCCTGAGAAGCTGTGGCTGCCCCATCCCTGGCAGTGGTCAAGGCCAGGCTGGACGGGGCTTGGAGCAACCTGGTCTAGTGGATGGTGTCCCTGCCCATGGCAGGAGTTGGGACTGGATGAGCTTTAAGGTCCTTCCAACCCACACCAGTCTATGATTCTGTGATCCTGAATAAACACTGAATTTGATTCCTCTTTGAAGTTTTTCTTTCAATATTACAGTGGCTTGGCTTGACTTTGCCAACGAAGATTTGGGAAGGGCTTTACCCACGCTTACTACAAGCACGCTGATGACTAAAAAGGCCAATGTGAGATGGGCAAATCTGGTTGCAAAAAGCACAGTGAAAGGTCTCCTTGTGTGGTATAGGCAGGGCATGATTCCTTCTCCGTTGTCTCACTCACAATATTATAGTAATTCACAAATAAGCACAACTTCCCTCTGCAGTCACTGGGGTTGCAAGAGATGCAGTAAGCATAAAGAAGTAGAAATCCATAACTTAGGTTACTGCTGCTTGGCCTGTTTCCCTGGAGAGACTGACGCATCAGTGAAGCCTTTCACACACACATTCTCCTTGCTCTTTGATGCAGGCAATGTTTAGCAAGCAGGAGAGAATTCTGGAGTTGATATAGCAAAGGCATAGGACAAGAGCAGTGCACACAGCACTGCTGTGGTAGAGCTCTAGCCCAATGGTTCTACTATTAAGATTCCCTTCGTCCCCTCTTTCTGTATTTACACTGAGAAAGCAATGTAGATCCATATTTTATAGGTTTTGTGCACTATCTGCTATCATTAATGAGTATCTGATTTTCTAAAGAGTCTAAACCATTTTACAAAATCAGTAAAACAGAGGCAAGTAAAGCAGCTTCACAAATGGTTTGTAACAGCACCTGTGTCCTTTCAGTTCCTTCTGAAAGCAAATGAAGCAGGCATGGAATTGAGGTTATCATTTTAGGGTGGTAGTCGCTGGTAACAGACATATTTGTCAATAACCGGAGTCCAGCTAGCTGCAGGTCAGAGTTCAGGGGAGCTGACTCAACAGTCCCACACACTTGTGTAATATATACCTGGGGAAAAAGAGAAGTCATCTTATTATATAAGCAGTGACCTAGCTACAGGAGTGTAAACACCTCTTGAATATTGCTGGCTGAACACATAGCCTGATTAAGATTCTTGGAAACAAGTACCTGGTTGCTTTGTTTTGAATACATTCAAACATTCTATTGCCATGACAGAAGCGGGTGTCACATAGTTCTGCTCGCTAACCTTCCTGAAGCATCAACTGCTCTGAAAACCCAAACTGCTTTGGCTCCATCTCAGAGGTGGCACAGCTGCTTTGAGGAGTTACTTTAAATAAATCACAGCGACTAGCATCTCCTTAAATGTTAAGAAGAAGTTAAGGACAAATCTTGGAATGGAATCCTTTCTTCCAACCACATGGCCCATTTACTAGAGTGTTTCTCCATGGGAACAGTGATGACAACTAACATTAACAAGTATTTACCAAATTTTCTTCTGGATGTCAGTATACAAGAAAGCCAGGGGTCCTAACTAAGAAAAAAACCCTACTTTGCCTTTCCCAAAGGAGTTGTTTTCTTCCTATATGCTTACATAAATACTTGCTGTTGGCAAGCACTACTTGAAAAGAAGTTCCTCTGTGCTAAAGATGCTACAAACTACCACAGAGACAAACTGCCTTTTTATCAAGCTCATGAGAAAACTAGGAAGCATCTTCAAATCTGCATCAACTCACCGCTTGGACACTTACTGGTCTACTTACTAATCTGATAATGTTTAAAGCGGATGCTTTCTGATAGTCGGTCCTTTCACATCCATAGCATTCTCTAAATTCACCGGTGGGATTTACAGGTTTTACATTATTCTTTGAAGATGAAAGGATCACCCTGAAAAACTGGTCTCATACAAACCCAGAGGATCAATTACTGCTTTCTTGTGCCTTGCCTAAGAAGTCATGCTGAGTTCAGTCTGTAGCTCATCCTGCTAAACAACCACTGCTAGGTATGTCTGGAAATCATTGTGCCTCACATAATTTTACTATAAACTTAGCAGCACAATCTCTGTTTCATAGTGTTTGGTAAAAGCTGGACACAAACTGCTTAGTTTCCTGTCTTTTTAAAAAAGTAAGTGCCAGTGATGCAGTGGACTTCTACACTATCCTTTGGGCCTTGGGACACACAGATCTTCCAGATCTGCTGGCTCCTATGTCTGACATCAAAACATTTTGGCATCCTGGTTTGTATTTCACAAATATGCTGAAAGCCCTCTACTGTTTCCTGTGTCTCAATTACTTTGATTTTTCCCTTTAAGAAACTTACCTGTATCTCTTCCTGATTTTTAATATTCATACTCAAATTATTAAGTGCATTCAGTGCTTTTTCTTTAACTTTGGGAACGCAATCTGAGAGCATCCCTCCAATAACAGAAAGGCCACCCAAATTCCGGATTATATCCTGTAATGCAAACCAGATATTTAGTAACATTTTAAAGATCCAGATTTAATGCTGAAGGCTCTTCTCAAAGTTTTAATTTTTAACACAAATGGAATGTGTGAATGAAGACTTCCAGAATAGATTGCTTTGTTTAAAGAGATAGCGTTAGTAGATACTGCTTTATTGCTTCCACTGAAATTAAGAATAGTCCTGCTTAGGGCCAGAGTATTATTTGACATTATTTAACAAGGGCACACCACCTTTCTGTTTAAAATCTGGCCTGCAAAGCATGCTTAAAGCATTTTAAAGAACCAAAGGTAATTATTGCTTAATGACTATAGAACAGCTGAGCCAGGCCACAGTACCTAGAAGTCCTGACTGAACAGAAATTCAAGCTGCAGCTTTATATTATTATGGTAGAAGTTCTAAAACTGTATCTTTTCCATTAGACTTTATCTTTTAAAAGTCTTTCTCACTTAGACTCAAACCATCACTGGAAAAAACATGTACTGATTTCAAGAAAATGAAAAATGGCCCAATGTGTGTTTGGATTCAGTTACATTCTGAGGAATTTATATTAAGAAAACAGTTCTGAGGTGCCAGAATAGGCAGCTGTTGTAAGCACCATACATAAAGGGCGGGGATTTAAAAAAGGTGGACCTGCCCTGGAGGTTAAACCTTTACAAAGGCATGAAAATCTGCATCCAGCTTAAAGCTTTTCTGCATCTTATTTCCAACTGATTTGAAAAGACATGGATAGCTGGAAAGTTGCTAAGATGCAAATGGCATACAGCTTTGTGAAGATAATTAATTAAAGATAATAATTTGTAAAAATAATTTCAATTATCTCAGTAAATTTCAGATGTGATCATAAACCCTTCTCCAGTTCAACCCTTTCATTAACTATAAGCAATAAAATATGTATTTTCAGTACATTTAAAATACAGAACTCTGTATGGACTTCAAGTTGTACAAATATTAAGCTTAGATAAATTCTGTGACGCTAGTAAATTCTATTATTTGGGCTAGCAGAAATTGAGGCATAGACATAAAATGGATTTCAGTACACAAGCTATACAAGCTCTCAGTTCCATTTCCCTCTTCAGCAAAACAGCACCTCTCATCTTCCATGCTGACTGGTATTGAAATGTTGTTTTCTGCAGAACAATACTTACATGATTTACAGAGAAGGCAGCACTGTTGCCGAGAGTGATTAAAGCTTGCTCTTGAATTAATGGATCATCTGTGGCATGCAGCAAATAAATAAGTTTCTGTAGAGCATCTGCGTCCATGGTATGGGTTGACAGTGGAGGACTGTTATCTGTTGGCAGTTAAAAATGAAATACTTGATACCAAGTTTGGGACATTTCACTTTGTTACCACTGAGGTTTAGCTCTCAGTTGCAGGACACACTGTTCTAAGTCTGACTGCACCCACTTCTCATATTGTGGCAAAAAGCCTGTTTTACAACAGTGAGACTTCTGTCCTTTTTCCTGAGTCCTCCCACTATTTCTTTTCAAAGTAGAAAATAAAAGGAATGCATAATAAGAGCTTTAAGTATGCTACTCATTGGCTAATCAACAGCAAACCTCCCTTTCAAAATTATTAGAAATATTCACCAAACTTTACTTTTTTAACTTGTGTTCCCTGAACTACCATGTGGAAATCTGCCCGGACACTACATGAGAATGAAACTTCTGACTTCCAGACTACTACTTCCAGAGATGATAACAATGTTTTGTAAGCACCCTGAGGTCCTTTTGACAAAGCAAGAACCACAATGCTAAGAATGCTGCCCCCATCATGGCATCACTCTACCAACCGAGAAAGGCAGTTTCTGAGTCAGGATGATGTTATGGAGTCCCTGGCTTTGATAAAAGGGTGACACAAATGCCATCAAAGACCATTTTCAGCCAGGTTGGAGGCAGATCTACTTAGCTAGCTGAACAGCCTGAAGACCGGAGCTGTGACTACAGGACTAGTCATAGTTGACTTGAGGTGACTTTAGAGAAGCCAACCAGTCCTTTATAATTCTGTGTACTTGCTGCCACCATCTCAGAAGGCAAACACCACAGTAATTCTAAGGGGAGGTCAAAGGTAATTATGGAAATCCAAGAATTAGCCTGGAAAACAAGATTATTTTTCATCCTCATCTAAACATTTTGTTTAGCTCTGGATTACAGGGGAAACACAACTTTAATAACAGAACAGCAAATCAGCCCATTAAGTAAATACACTGACTGGAAGTACGCTTTAGGGGACTTTAAAGAAATAAATTAGCCTTTTCTAAAAATACAACATGCCCCAGAGGCCTTTAAAAACGCCGCCCGGCTGCTGCTGTGGGAAGGCCGGTGAGCAGCGCCCTGGCGCCCCTCACACAGCGGGCAGAGCCGCGCCGAGGTCTCCGGCGGGCAGGAGCCCGGAGCCGCGCCCCTGAGGCGCGGACAGGGCCCCGGCGAAGGCCGGAACCGGGCTCAGGCCCAACCCGCCGCCCCGCCCGCCCCTCACCTGGCGGCCGGCCCCGAGGCACCCCGCCCGCAGCCCGCGGCCCCCGCCGGCCGCCCGCCGCCAGCCGCCACAGGCAGTAGCAGGCTCCCGCCCCGAGCACGATGACCGCCGCTCTCGCCACCACCGCGCCCCGCGCCTCCCCCATGCCGGCGGCCCCGCTGCCCGCCCGCGGAAGCCTCCGCCCCATCCGGCGCCGACTCCCGCCTTCCTGCAGCCGCCGAGCTGCGCTGCCGGGGCCGGCGCGGGTCGCTGGGAGGGCGGCTGTAGTGTGCATCATTCTCTGGGGGCAGGATGAACGTGCCCTTTTTCATGGCTACTACGCCGTTTATAAGTACATTAATTAGACCACACACAATCTGCTCCTTAAACAGTTACAGTGTTTTAACAAACACAGCAGTATGTTAAAAATACACAGGCTGGAAATGCTTGCCTCGGGGTTACATGAACCTGCTGGCAAATCCCCACCCCGCTGGTGCTGCCTGTGCTCGTCCTCTTTGAATCCGAGCTCCAGGGTACGATTTCTCAGCTGCTGCCCGTTCCGACACCCCTCACCGCAGATGTGCGCGGCCTCCCCGGCGCACAGCGGCGGAGGCAGCAGCAAACGCCGGCAGCGCTCAGCTCGGCTCCAAGCCCGGCTGGTGGGAGCCAAAACACCGGGATCCCGGAGCCACTCAAGTCGTAACGGGCAGATGCTCCCCTCTCTGCCCCCCACTACCCCAAAGGCCCTCCACCGCTCCATGCCCGCTCGGTGCGGAGCTATCAGCGGCTGGGGCGGACTCGGCCCAGCTCACAGCTGCGGCCCCGTTGCTACGCAACCGCTGCCAGTGCGTCCAGCACGCCATGGAGTCCCTCAGGACGGCGAGCCCCGAGCTCCGAGCTTACTTCAGCCGCCACGACCTCCTCGACGTGTACGAGGTATCGGCGGGCAGCAGACACACCGCGTCCCCCGCTGCAGCTAGCAGCGGCCCACGGCCACCCCCTTGCCCGCCGGGACCCCTGGCCCGCGCACCGCTGACTGCCGTCGGTGCTGTCCGGAGCGCCGTGGCCGCCCCTCGCCCCCACCGCCTGGCCGGAGGTCGTTCTGAAGGTCAGACTGGTCCCCACTGGAGCCGGTGGGACCACAGACTCCCCGGTACCCTTGGTGGGAGGGATCCCTCTCCCCGCTCAGGGGTTTCCCCGATCCCTCAGCAGTGCCCTGGAGGCGGCTCGTTGGGTCCCTCAGCCTTGGCCGGGGTATTTCACGCCCTGATGCTGGGCTCTGCTGGCACGGGGCATGTTTTTGTTCTGCTTCTTGTGTTAATGGTTTGCTTCAGTTTGTGAAAACTTTAAAGACAGAGCAAAGATAGAACAAGGTAATTCCACTTCTTAATCCATACTTAAATGATGACTGACATGATAGAATAAACTCGGTTGGAAAAGACCTTTAAGATCATAAAGTCCAACCTTTACCCCAGCACTGCCAAGTCCATCATTAAACCATGTCACTAAGGGCCTCGTCTGCACGTCCAGGAATGGTGACTTAACCACTTCTCTGGGCAGCCTGTTCCAGAGCTTGACAACACTTTTGATGAATAAATCTTTCCTAATATCTAATCTAAACCTCCCCTGGCACAACCTGAGGCCATTTCCTCTTGTCCTATCGCTTCTTACTTGGGAGAAGAGACCAACACCCACCTTGCTACAACCTCCTGTCAGGCAGTTGTAGAGAGTGGTCAGGACTCCCCTGAGATTCCTTTTCTCCAGGCTGAACAACCCCAGGTCCCTCAGCTGCTCCTCATCAGACTTGTTCTCCAGACCCTTCACCAGCTTCATGGCCCTTCTCTGGACCCACTCCAGCACCTCAGTATCTCTCCTGTAGTGAGGGGTGCAGAGAACTGAACACAGGATTCAAGGTGTAGCCTCACCAGTGCTGAGTACAGGGGGAAATGAAGACAAACGCAGTAAACTACATTTGTACCTTTACTAGATTTGCATTGTTCTCCAGTTTTAATTATGAAAGCACCTCTAGACTTCAGCTGGATACTTCTCTACTTCCTGAGTGCTGTGTGCCATCTTCTAATGGTCTGTCAAAGGTAACAATGGCAGCAGACCACATTTCAGATATTGGTGGGTTAGATATTTATTGGTCTGGGAATAAATAAACTTCCATGAAACATTAGAGAATAGAACTGTTTGTCAAAAGGATGGGGTGGGGGGGTGAGGGGTGAGGAAAACAGAGTAGGTGAGTGTCTGACCCAATTCTCTGTATTTCTTTAGTTTCCCCCATTTGTCACATTCACTTTTGCCTACTTCAAAACCTGCAGCTTTTCAGTTTCCTTAAAACAAAGGAACAGTGCACAAATACAAGTTTAAAAGACATCCTGATGCTTTTAAGCTACTAAAAATAGATTGTGTTTGCAGGCAGCTGCTGCAGCCAGGATTTCCATGGGAACATTAATAAAGAAATCTTGAGACAATTAAAATAATTACAGAGCAGCGCTGCCAGGCAGATCTAGTACCTCTCCTCAGAGTCTGTCTCTTGACCATTCTTTGTTTTTTTAAGCACAGAAAAATAAAAGATGTATTTCTCAATTATGCAATAGCTTATATTTCCATTTCCAAGCTAAAGTTATAAATACCTTTGTAGCAATAGTGGTATTGAGTCAACTAAAAATGAAAAAAAAATAGGGTTAAGATTAAAGGGAGTTTCTTAAAAGAAAGAGCCCGTTTAAAACCTTTCTATGTTTTTGGTTTGTTTGTTTTTTTTTTTTCTTATTTCTTAGAGGTTGGTGCTTGCTGGTATCTAGCCATATTTTATTTTAATTTCTTTATGAAGTTACAGTATGCTTGGTGTGAGATCATACTGGTCTGTGTATTAAGGAATATCAAAGCTAAGCCAAGACCCATAAATATTTGTACACAAATTCCCAAAATTAAAGATAGAGAGTTCTAAAATGGCCATTTTTTAAAGTCTTTTTATGGTTAGGTTGTGGTTTGGACATGGTCCAAACACAGTTGGAATTCAAATAATTGTGTCCAAACAGTTTGGGATTCAGTGCTGCATCTGAGCGTTTCACTCCTGTCTGATTTCTCTCTCAGGTCTCATCCAGATTTACTTTTAAACAGTCTCCATAAAAAGTCTGTAACCCTGCAAACACTATGCTGACTTATGAAACCGTATTTTGATGAATGTCCAGGGGTTGTCAGGACGTAGCAGACTTCAAGGATAGTCTTTCCTGATCAGAGGTCATTAGTCCTGTTTTTGTTGGTCCAGGTTGTCTCAGTCCTGTTTTTCTTAATCTACCTACACAAGGCCAAAGCCTCTCTGGCTGCCAGTTCTCATTGTAAATCACTGTTGTTTCTCAGGTCTCAGGAAGAGATCCTTGTATGTGGTCAGGCTCTTTGATAGTAATGCAGGTTTCAAATTCTTAACTAAATACCCATGGAGCTTTAACTGAATAACTGTGGAGTTTGACTATATGGCTTATGTAGCTGAGTGGTGCTTGTCATACATACTTTGTTAATGATAGGTGTGAAATCCTCTTGCTTTACAATCCTTGTTTGTCAGCTGCTCTGTGGTTTATCAGTACATGGTTCCTGTAAGTTCCCGCAGCTGCAGGGAGTATAGCGGAGCCTGGCCACGGTGTCTTCACTCTGCTCCACAGTCTGTTCAGTTTATCCTGGCATATGCTAAGGTTTCCAAGGAAACTACCATAGGGTAGATTCTGTGCGTATCAACTGCATTCCATCCTGGAAGTCACAGCTGCATTGTATCCTAAAATATCCTTAATATTGTAATGTTGAAGATCTGGGGGGATGAGTGATGGTCTCTAATTTCTCCCATTATTCCACATGCTTTTTGGTAGTTAGTTACTCATTTCATATATAAGTATACTTTCAGTTGTTTAAATTATGAATAAGTAAAACTTACAGGTTGAGAGAAATTGTTGATGATTCTTTCAGATTGTTGAGAGTCTTGGAGAAGCCTAATAGAAATAGCCAGACTTGTACTGGCTTAAGTATCACTGAAGAGTATCTGAATGGGGATTGCAAGACCAAGTCTTACAGTTTTATCCCTTATTAAAGTTTTATAAAAAAAATCTCAAAGGTTAATCAGAGGCCTTGCTCTTCCAGTACATGGTTGGATCGTTTGGATTTCAGAATGATGGAAGGATTTTAGAACATCCAAAGGAAAAAAGTTCTTTGTGTTTGCTTGAAAAAGGGGAAAAGAAGGTAAACAAAACTTGTAATAGTAAACAGTGGCCTTCGTATGGCAGACACGTACTGGCTTAATCCAGCAGAGGGAGTAGCCGACCAACGTTGGGGTTGGCTTTGGGAAACCTGTCCACAGGAAAATTCGTGATGAAAGCCATTTAACTGCCTGTAAAGTATTTAAAATGATATTACATCTCTTTAATTACGATGATAAGTGATGGATTTATAATATTTTCTTAGTATAATCAGCCATCAAGATATACATTGCAAATTACATTTTTGTTAAGAAGATTGAAGAGATGTTAAGGTTGGAATCAGTGTGTTGATTAGTGTTTGAAGTATTCAGGGTGTCTGAACTAGAGACAGTTGCCTCTCATTGTGTCTGTGCATAAGTAAAATTTCTTTTATATTGACTGTCCATATTGATCTTAACTTAGAATCATGGAATAATGTAATGGTTTTGGCTGAAAAGAACATTCAAATGTCATCTAGTCCAACCCCTGCTGTGGGCAGGGACACTCTTACTAGATCAGGTTGCTCAAAGTCTGTCCAGCCTGACTTTGAACACTTCCAATGATGAGGCATCCGTAGTTTCTGTTCAACAGCCTTCGAACATTCCTTCCAATTTATCTTATTGTCTGAGTCTGTTTCTACGTGGTGCTCTGATCAGCCCATGGAAGGCCTCTTTACCATGCCAGGCTGCTCCGTCTCCCTGCGTGCCCTGCTCTCTGCCACTACAGAGTGAGGCCCTACTTGACAGAGCACCTTTTCCTGCCTCTATTGTTGTGCATGGCTTTTGCTCTGTATCCATAGCACGGTTTTGATTTAGAGCCTTTCTCTTTTCCCTTAACCTCCCACCATGCTTCCTGAAAAGAATTCAAGCACATGCTCCACATTACTTATAGCAAGAGGACATGTGTTGAGAGTAGTATTGCATCATTTGAATTCGTACAGTGAATAAACCATTATATTATTGTGTTGTCTTGAAACATCAAACATCAAACATTGTAGCAGTTGCTTCAGGTATTTCCTAGTTTTACAATTTAGTTTTATATTTATATATAAACCAGTTGTATGACACTGATAACAAGTCAGAATCAATGTAGATGTTAGGAAACAAAGAAAGTATTTCTACCCAGTGAATGCATAGGTGAAAGGCCATGATTTGGGAAGTTAAATGTAAGTGGGCAGTGAGATTGGGTAGTCAGAAGTTTGGTGATGAGCTTATAGAGGCCTGAGCAGAACTTTGAGTGGCAAAATTTAGATGTGCACCATCTAACAGCACCATGGGGAGTGATGGTAGTGAAAAGTGGGCAGAGGCAAAGAAAAACATTTCTCTAAGTGTCAGGGCTGAGGGAAAATGTAAAAACTCAGGTGTTGGATTGTGATAACTCATCAAAGGTAGTTTCTTTGTAACAGACAGGGGGAAATACAAACAAGAGAGTGTGTCCCAAGACCGAATCTTATGCAGTAATATAGGTTAATGTCTAGTTAAAGATACAGTCATGTTTTGAAATTTTTACCAGGCACAAAACCTTCTAGTTTATAGTTTCCATTAAATAGTCACTTTAATAAATGCAATTTGCCTGTATACTTTAAAAAAAATCAATATACTTCAGACATCCTCACTGTATGTGAGCTCACAATCCAAAAATAAATGATCTATGTCCTTTAGCTAAAGACAGCCAAAGCACAAATGAGTAAAAAAGGTTCCTCAGTTATTATGCAATATTGCTAAAAGATAGTGCAAAGTAGTGTGATAATGGCAATCCTGAGAAACAAACCTTTCTTAAAACTGCATTTTGTGTTCAGTACTGGATACAAGATCAGTTTCTGGCCATGCTTCCCATTCAACATACTTCTTACTTCACAGGATTCATCTTGTTTTAAATTTGGGTTTATAAATAAATAAAATGATCCAATATTCTATATATTCTTCCTTTAATGCACATTCAAAGCAATGCAATCCTTAGAAGGAATTGTTAAAGAAATATCACGTATTTTATTACTATCCTAAAACTAGTGCTTTGAAGTCTAGGAATTGAAATATGCTGATAAATGAAATATTGCCTTTAAAACTTGAATGAAAAGGAAGGTAAGTGATAAAAAGAGATGTCTCTGTTTTGCAAAATTCAAAGATGCAGGTAAACTTGTTTATTTTAACAGTTTCATATCTAGATGTTACTTTGCTGTTGACATAGGGGCATTAATTTGCAGTTTCTTTCTGCAGGTGCTGCTTTGTGCTGTAATTGGCATGCGTCCAGAAGATCCACTTAAGTTTTTAGAAGAAAAGCTCAGAGAAATAATGGAAAAGGGATTAGATACTGTTTTATGGTACATATGAAATGATTGTGTGTCTGCTCTGTAGTTTAGAATATTGAACTTGGACTTTTAAAACATGCTAATGTGCAGCTCCTATCAGAGTTACTTCCCTTCTTGCTTTAATTTGTACATATGATGAAATAATTTTATCGTTCAAGTGTGTTTCATGAAAAGTTGTGTTGTGTAAATATGCCACCCTTGAGGTTTATAAATTCTGTAAGTTTTGAATAGCAGGAAAAAAGCTCCAATTGGTGTAGAGGGAAGAGCAACAAGCTATAATGATATTTACATTGACGTGAATCACTGAGAAGAGGGAATACCTTATTTTCTTACTTGATGGACTTCATCCAAGAATGCAGTTTCATTTGTTCCTGTTGCAATTGTGCCATAATCAATCCTGATGTTTTTGGATACCATCAGAATTAATGAACCTGCAATAAAACTTTAAATATTGAGAAGAACTTCTGCTAAGATTGTAGTGTAAGCGAATAAGAAAAAAAGATGAACAAAATTTCATACCAGTCAGAATGCCTGGAGGCAAAAACTGCTGGGAAGTGAAAGAGCTTTGTACAGGAAGGAGATGGAAAGTCAGTTCAGTATGAATTCAATTCTGTGTTACATGTAAAGTTTATACAATATAGCTTAAGAGTTTGGGTAAGTAGGTGTGCTGTCAGTAATGCAACATTTTAGTAAGGGACTTCTGTTGAGATACTGATTTCTGTAAAATGCCTCACTGTTGTCAGAAAATTGCGGTGTTCATCATTGTATTAAAACTGACCCCATAAGATGCTGCTGATCTATTTAGATGGGAGCTAGAAAACGTTAGGGAATGAGAACTGGAAAAAAGAGGGAAGGGAGTATAATGGGCAGATAGAATCATAGAATCACAGAATAGTTAGGGTTGGAAAGGACCTTAAGATCATTCAGTTCCAACCCCCTTGCCGTGGGCAGGGACACCTCACACTAAACCGTGACACCCAAGGCTCTGTCCAACCCAGACTTGAACACCACCAGGGATGAAGCATTCACAGCTTCCCTGGGCAACCCATTCCAGTGCCTCACCACCCTTACAGTAAAGAACTTCTTCCTTATACCCAATCTAAACTTTCCCTGTTTGTGTTTTAACCTGTTACCCCTTGTCCTATCACTACAGTCCCTAATGAAGAGTCCCTCCCCAGCATCCCTATAGGCCCCCTTCAGATACTGGAAGGCTGCTAGGAGGTCTCCACACAGCCTTCTCTTCTCCAGGCTGAACAGCCCCAACTTTCTCAGCCTGTCTTCATACGGGAGGTGCTCCAGTCCCCTGATCATCCTCGTGGCCTCCTCTGGACTTATTCCAACAGTTTCATGTCCTTTATATGTTGAGGACGCCAGAACTGCACACAATACTCCAGGTGAGGTCTCATGAGAGCAGAGTAGAGAGGCAGGATCACCTCCTTTGATCTGCTGTTCACGCTCCTTTTGATGCAGCCCAGGATACGGTTGGCTTTCTGGGCTGCGAGCACACACTGAAGCTGGCTAATGTTCATTTTCTCATTGACCAACACCCCCAAGTCCTTCTCCACAGGGTTGCTCTGAATCTCTTCTCTGCCCAACCTGTAGCTGTGCTTGGGATTGCTCTGACCCAGGTGTAGGACCTTGCACTTGGCACAGTTAAACATCATAAGGTTGGCATCAGCCCACCTCACAAGTGTGTCAAGGTCCCTCTGGATGGCATTCCTTCCTTCCAGCGTAGCAACCAAACCACATGGTTAATGCTAGGAAAATTGCCATCTTTTGCGATGTCAAGAAGCTGTCCTTACCTTGCTTATGTGTTCTGTGCAGGTGTCAGTTCTGGTTGAAGTTTCAGTAGGAAGTGGATAATAATTCCTTAATCTTTGGGCCCACTCAAGCAGAGATCTCTGGAGATCTCTAGACCCCCAACTACTCTGTGTGCACTCATAGATTGACTTTATTGTTTACTTTGCATTATTTATGATGTCTTTCCTGGAAGTTGAAATCTGACTTGATTTCTCTTTTAATTTTGGTCCTCTGGTAAATACTTTTTATTTCAATATTTTTCATGGAATTATAATGCAGCATAGTCATTCCTGGTTGATTTGTCTCTTGCAGTGTGTCTTCTTTTTCTGTAATGAAAACAGAAGTTTACCTACTTAGACATGGCGTATTTGCAATAGCAGGAAACATTGCTCCAGCTACAGACAACTTGAAATGGCTGTTCAGTTAATATTAAGATGAGATATAGAATACTATAATCTGTCAGGAAATGTCCAAGATAGATATTACATGGAATGTGTTAAGCTCTGATGTACAGAGTATTTCAATGTAGCTCTAAGAGTAGCAATAATATCAATATAATAATTAGTTTTCATATTTTGTAAACATTTAAAATTGGCTGCTCTAGGTATTTGTAATGAAAGTGATATAGATCATAATCTTTTAATAGTAATGTTATAAAACTGTAACTGTAGCTAATCTAGTAGGTACAGAGAAAAGATGCATTTTTTTGGGGGGATACTAATATGTTTAATATAATTTATTTCTCTTTTAAAGGTGTATGTGTACAGATCTGTCTTTACACCCAAAATTTAAGAGGATTTCAGAAACGTACCTGAGCACTGTTTTTGGACTAGATGTTGAACAACTGGTAAAAATCATTGAACATTTGCATTAGCCCTATGCTGTCAACACATTTTCTAATACAGAATATTCATACTCTGTTTTTAAGTTTTCTCATGTTACTCTTCTATAGCTGATAATGAGGAATTTGATAATTTGCTTTTCTTTCTATTGATATTGATTTGTATACAAAACTTAACATAATCAGAGGTGAGCATAACATCTAGGCATATGGTGGGGAACAAGTAGTCAAGTATTTGATCATAATTTAAAAAGCATTCCCCATAAATACAAGTCTAGTTTCAATAGCATGTTTTTTTTCTATGTGTTATTTGGTTTTACTTCGGCCAGTTCCTAAAACTGCACTTGAACTATAATGAATAGTTACAGCATTATTGTACTTGAAGCAATGAGGAGGTGAACATTTTGGTTTTACTGATCCAGAAAGTCCACCTGTAGAGAAGAAAAACTCTAATTTTATAACCTTCAAAGGTGAAAGGCGCTGTACGACCATGCAAGAAGCAGTCTAAGCAATTCAGTCAGGAAGTTGGCATGCAGTGTGACCAGATTTTCCTCTTAATTACTTCTGTATAACTGTACTCAATTCTGTCTTAATCCATCTGTACTGTGAGTTTACTGCAATTTCATTTCAGTCATTTCCTCTTTTACAAACCACTCAAATATTATCAGTCTGAAAGTGGAATGGTTGATTTATACAGTATGCGCATAAATGTACAAATGGGTTGAAGTCAAATCCTCTTACAGATTTTCTTAGGAGTAAGAACAATAAATAAGATAACCCCCAGTATTTCCTGAGGCCCAATTGCTATTTGTACATTCAAAGGAACATATTTTCTTTTACAGAGATATTCTTGGCTTATAGTCTTACACAGTTTTGGTTTTGTACAAGTTCAAACGGATTTATTAAAATACCAATGAATTAGAGTCATGTAAATAGTTTACATAGCATGAAACATACAAATATTTTTGTAAAGAGTAACTAAAGTATGCATTTGTTTAATATGCTACATTGTGGGATACGGCTGATTGGTAAAAGAGTGCATATGAGGAATGAAAGATGGAATTTCAGTTATTGAACTTTCCTTCAAGCACACATGCTATGTCTGTTACATATGCTAATTTTGCTTTTCCTTTAAATTCTGTGTGTAAAACCAAAAGTGTAATTTAGTAGCAGACAACAGAAAATTATACTTAAATAGTCATCTTTTTAGAATAGATACTTTAATTTGGACCAATCAACATGGAAAATACAAGATTTCATACTTTTGTCTGATTTCTAAATATTAATAATACAGCACTGTTTTGTGTAGTAATGTCATAGATGATTTGTTTAGATAACTGAAGGATGTGCCAAGGCATGGAGCTTTCACAACAGAAACTTAATGAAGCTGTATTTTGGGTAAGTGTATGTATTTTGCATATACCTCAGGAACATCTTAGGAAAAAATATTTTACCAAAGCAATATTTATGTTGTTCCATAGTTTGGGGGAGGGAAAAGTTTTCGTTTTAATAGATCAATGTGAAGAGAGATTAGAAACTTAGATTTGGCTTTATTTTTCTTCAGTAAAGTTGTTCTATGTTAAAAATAGTCAGTTCTGAGTTCCTGCTTGTTCCAGACTGAACAAAGGCCTTTGACATTTCTGCACTTTAATCAGCATTATTTACTAGTCATACAGTAGTATGCCCAGGAGTAAAAGGATAACTTGTGTTTGGTTCTGAAAGTAAAAGGTATGTGTTCTCTTCTGCTCTTTCTTAGGTTTCCCGTATGCTTGGGATTAGGTTACTCATGCTTTATGTATTCCAATTTCCCCTTTTAAAAATGGGCATACTCCTTAGCTATGTTTGAAAATCTAATCACAGTAAAAAACATGTTCACTGATTTCTTTGTTGAAGGTATCTGTATCAAAATTTAATGATCCTCCATTTAGAATAGATAAGTTTGGACTATTTTGTACTGAAAAGTGTGCAATGCTGATTATATAGGAAGTACAACTCTGCCAGGAATACCAGTGTAAATCCTTACTAAGCATCACAGAATCACAGAATTGACAGGGAGGTGAAGGTTTTCAAGCTATCCAGTGATTAGCCTTGATGAGCACTTGCCTAGGCTGTTTTCAGCCATTTTAAGAATCACAGGTGTTGGAGACATAACGATCTCTGCAGGCAGTTTATTTGAGTACTGCATAATCCCTTCTACTAGAAATATCTCGCTAATATCTGGGCCTTCCTTGCTGTAAGAGGACACCCCCCCACCCCCCCTTTTTTTAATTTTTGTCTTACGCACCAGAGACATGGAAGATTATTCCTTTTTCCTTTACAGCAGCATTTTTGATGATTGTCTGAGCTAACAGGTTTGTTTAATTATTGCAGAAGTTGGACTGGAACAAGAGAATGTTCCATTTCTGATTGCTCCCAACTATATGAAATTAAATGACTTTTTTTTTTTTTAATTTGAAATGAGAGATATTTTGGCAAATGAGAGTAGTCATATAAAATCTAATTTATTCAGTAATCTTTCCAGCAAATCAGGTACAGAGAAATAGTGTATTTTAATATATCAGCAACATATGATTCATTTGAAATACATTTTTTTTGTTCTGAATCTTATTATTTCTTTCTATTTAGATGAGATTTTTTTTACCAAAGTTTAAAATTGTTAAGATATAAATGGAATTTATATTCTATTACATTAATTTTTATTTGTATTGCCAAGAAAATGTTAGAATTATTTTCTATAAACACTCAAGTGTCATCCCATAATACAGATCTATACATTGAAGTATAGCTGACAGCAGCAGGAGAATATGATGGTTGAAACAAGCAACCTTTTATTGCTCATTTCTGTAGAATATTACAGACAAGTAGAAACTTTATGAAAATGAGTGGATTACTACTGAAAATTATTATCATACATATTTTATTTAACTTATAAACAACAAACAACAGTTTTATTCAGAAGTTTATGTTGTTAAGCTTGCCTGCTTTGTAATTTACAGCAAATTGCAGAGTTCCATAGATTTTCCTTCGTTCAGGTCAGGAGCTGTATTAAATTGTTCATTCTGATTTCCATTTCAGAGGATGGTTAAAATATCACTTGCTAAAAAAGAATAAAAGACAAAAGGCAGAGCAGAAGGTGGCTTTGGCAGTAGACCATTATAACGTGCAAATAGTAAGAGTTATTATACAGAAGTGGAGTATGTGGGTGAATATTCACAAGCAAAAAAGGACATGTAAGTCTGTATAGCTGCTTTGCATAAGACAAAAAATGTGTAAAAGAAAACTATGCTGTATACTTAAGTATGCTTGGTCCCACTATTTATCTAGCTGTCTTTTTGCAGGATAGCAATCATAGAATCATAGAATCGTTAGGGTTGGAAAGGACCTTAAGATCATCTAGTTCCAACCCCCTGCCATGGGCAGGGACACCCTACGCTAAATCATATCACCCAAGGCCTCGTCCAACCTGGCCTTGAACACTGCCAGGGACGGAGCATTCACAACCTCCCTGGGCAACCTATTCCAGTGCCTCATTCACTGGTTGACATGTGGCAACTTGATGCCATGAATGCCATGAGAGGCAGTTCCCTCTATTTGCTGTTAGGACAGATGGTGCTTGTACTCTTCTCTAAAGTCTGAGCAGTGATGCTGATGCAAAGAAGGCCTGGGGGTTTTAAGGAAGTGAAGTGTATGTCAGAAGTCCAGAGTGGAGTCAATCAGGATGCTTATATTGGAGGTGAAGAGTGAAATGATATAGGGATAAACCAGAAGGGATCACAGAGTTGGAGTCTTGGCTTCAGTTAGAGGGAATGCATGATGTGAGGCTGGGAAGGAGTGAAGAAGTGAAGATCAAAAGAAAACTTAAAAAATCAGAAGAAACTAAAAAAGAAATACTATACGCATTTTGCCTGGGACTTCACATTCCCTCGATCCTGTGGGTATGAGGCTTTTTAAATGTGAACAGCAGCTGTGACCATACTGTTAACCTGAGCCCACCCAGACAGAAGTGTCATTAAAATAAAGAATGGGCCAAAACCACTACGTATAGGTTTGAGTTTGAGCTCAGGCAGTTGCGTATAATTCAAACATTCCTCTTACAGAGCTAGAAGCTCAAGCTGTTGTCTCACTTTCCTAGGTAGTTTTCAGGGACTCCTTTTTTTTCATATTCTCTTCTAAATATTGCTTTCAGCCAAGGCACCTTTTACTGAATTTATTCTTACAATATTTGATTTGCATGACATCTGAAACATTATTAAAGTCTTGTAATTGTGTTTTATTTCACTGAGGTCTGTAGACATCTGGCACCTCCAAGCTCTGTGCAATTATTGGGTAATTTGGTAGATCAAACTGTACATCAGTAATGTCTTATACACAACTCTAACACATTGGAAATATGTCATGTTTATGCCTTGCCAGCTAACTTGAAATCCTATTGCAATGGTCTTAGTTATATCTGTTGTAAAAGGTTATTTATTTCCTTACAGAACCTGAATTGATTATCTATTTTGTTGAAATGTAATTTAATAGTCATTCATCTAAAGCACTTAAATGACATACTTCTTACTTGTGGTTCTCAGATTGGTTAAAATTATGTATATTTTCAGTGGCAGTGACAAGACTGCAACAGATCTTTAATAAATTATATTTAAATGCTGTGGTGAAGGCTTGGCATGCAGAGGCCCACAGTTCTTCGGAAACAAAAGCATATTTTGAGGTATGCAGTATAATACTTAAAATATCGTAAGCTTAATGTTTAAAGATTAACTCCATTAATTCCAACTAAAAAAACAGCTTTATCAATATTAAATGAAGCATTTTAGTACTACTACTACTAATACTGCTCTATAGTACCGGTGGTGTTATGGGCAGCAGATCATTACTTCTCTAGTCTGCAAGTAAAAGTTTGGTCATATCTTAAGCAGCAAAGGGGGTTGAGTGTAATTGGGTATTACCAGTGATCTATCTGGCTTGGATCAGGTAGTTGATGTCTTAGGGGTAGTATTACCAATTGATATGATCACCAGTAAAGATGATGCCTCTGTATCCATGCCACCAGAATTTTATAGGCGTAGACTCCTGCACAGTGAGGAGAAGGCTCAGTAACCTCATCTCCTCCTAACAAGTGCAGGGTAACCAAAATTGTGATCACCTGAGAGTAGGCAGCACATAGGTAGCCCCATGTGCCCCCTTGCCAGCAGCTGTATCTGGTCTCACTGTGAGAAACAGGGCTTTTCTCATTTCTTGGAAGGTTTCTGCTGCCACAGAAGAGAATGCTATAGCTTGATGCTCAGCAGATGCCACATGGGGAATGGGAGAAATGGAAGCTGTAAGAATCAGATGCTGCTAAATGGGGTTCCAAAATCATGCTCCCACTGTTTAGCTCCTTTTTCTTGCCCTACTGTAGGATGGTCAGAATGGAAACCAGCTGGAGACAATATATCATTTGCTGGCTGCTCGACACCAGTTTTAAAATCCTTCCTGGAGTAAAGCTGTCATTAGTGCTGCTGCTTCTCTGGTTTCCCAAATTAGTTGCTAAACTCTCATTTTTATTTTTGTTTCTTCTCCCTCTCATACATTTTCTTTATCCTCTTTTCTTGCTGCTATCTTAAAATACTTAAAATGTTAGTCTGGCTAGACTGAGTGCGTAAAAGTTGTCCTGTTTGTGGAGTGTATTAGGGCATTCTTAGGGAATAATATTCTTAAATCCTTTCCATTCTTAATAACAGATAAAAGGATTGTTTTGACTTCCATAATTAGATTAGAATGCTCAGAACAGAAAGAATATAACTGAATCTTTTTTTGTGCGTGTGTGTACTTTTGTACTGTGTACAGTTCTGTAGGCATTTTGGGTGCATCTATGTCACCTAAGCAAAGGTTTCTGGTGTAACTTGGCATGCCCTGGGATACCTCAGGCAAGGCTAGACCAGGCAGGTCTCCAGCTTAAAGCTCAAGAAATGCAAGAATCCTCTGCCCTGTATGATATTTTCCAAACTTTTGTGGATATCTTGGGTAATCCAGGGCATCTAAGATAACATTTATTGGTTTTAAAATGCAGAATTAAACCATCAATGTTTAGAATTTGTAAGAAACTAAATGGGCCAGAAGAACTCACATTGCTGCTAAAGGGCAAATACATTTTCAGAATGGGAAGTTACAATCTAAAGCTCATTATTCCCATTTTCTTGGTTCTTCCTGGCTTTCCCATCTCACTGTTTTCTTCCTTCCCATTTTCTTTATTCCTAATTCCTCCTTTCCTGCATATATTCTTTTTTTTTCCCTCTTCTCCTCTCTTCCCTGTAGCAGTATTAAATAAAAAACATTTTTATAACCCCTGACATTCTGTTGCTAGAGCTACAATAAAAGGAGATTCAATGTTGCTCCCATGTTGAGTATATATGAAAAATACTTCGGTATCTTTCATGCCGTATACATTGTTGGATACAATATGACATCAGGGAGATTTTAGTAATACCTTTTGAAGACTTGTCGGAAAAAAATCATGTGCCATAGTGTGTTTATGTCACAGTGTGTACACAATGTTTTAGTTTGGAAATGCATTTAGTCTCCTATGCTTCTGTATTGTATTGCATTACTAGGATGAAAAATCATGAGGTGGATCCTAAAACTACAGTTATTCTCAGTAATAGCAGTTACAAATATTCATAGAGGTGTTAACTATCTGGGATTTGAAAAAGTCTAGTTAACTTTAGAAGAAATAAATTTAATTTTTAAAATATTTAAATGTATTTGAAACTTTGAACCTGCAATTAAGTTAAAATTGTGCCTTCCTTTTACTATCTTTTTTTCAGAGTTTGGCAAAGGAAAGTCAGAAAGAATGTTGTGAATCAAATGATCTTACCATCAGACATGAAACATCCTCTTTACCAGAAAAAGCCTTGTTACAGGTTTGTGGTAGTTGGATGTTCTTTTTGATTTTTCATATGTATATTTCATAAAGGGTATATATAATATTTTGTTGCAAAGAATATATTTGTGGAATGGAAATAAAGGTTCCTGTTTACATTGTTCACTTTAAGTCCAATGGAATCCTTTGAAGGTTGACAATGCTATTCTTCCCTTTAGTGGCACCTAATCATAATCTGCATGTCCTAACCTGTGTCCATGTCTATGCAACTTCTCACACCTATAAATAAATAATTATTCAGATATTCAGGTATTCTGAGGTTGGTAGTAGCATCCTTTCTTCATTAAACCTCCTGAAATAGGTGTATCTTTCTGTTAACTCTGTAACAATATTGATGATATGATTCCTTTTTTTGTAGCTTGGGAGAAATCTGTTTATCTTAATCTATGAGCCTTGTTTTTTAGACATCCAAACCATGAGCTCAAAATATAGCTATCCTTTTAAGTTGCCCTTTTTTGAGGTCATTTCATGTTCACAGTTACATGTGCCACTGTCAAAAAGGATCAGATCTTATATGCGTAAAGTCTATGCACATAAAAAGCAGAATCTGGAAATTAACACATCAAAAAGAATGACGGCTATTCTGAGGTATGTAGCCATGCTTTTTTATTAATGCTACAGAGCAACTGTAAAAATACATTATATAGTTTTCTCTTCTTTTTGCATATAAAGTTAGTTTTATAGCCTATATAAATCAAATATACTGTCAGTGCTACTTTAGTGGCCTAGCAGAAAACATTAACATCTTCCATTTCTAGAGCAATTCCAACTCTGAGGTCTGGAGCTGAAAAGCAAGGTAGTTTGCCAGTTTAGAATTTGTATATATTGTCATAGTGTGTATGTTAATGTGTGTTTTTGGGGAAAATGAAGTAAGAAGTCAGAATTCTATTGATTTGAATAGGAAATAATAACCTAAAGAATAAGAAAAAAGAAAATTTCATAATCCACACAAATTTCAAGCCATATTTCCACCCATATACATATCATTGTAGGATGTGGAATTATTTTTGTTTGTCTGTATTTAAATAGCATTTACATATCTAAAATCCAAAAGCTACAGCTAAGGAAATTACATGTCATAAAAGAAATCAAAACTAATTATATCACTGCAGTGGAAAAAACACAAAAGGTAATAAAATTAAAAACAACAGTAGGGTAAGGTGAGTGTATTAGGGAACATTAGTCAAAACTTCATTCTGGTAACGATGATGAGTTTTTCACTGCAGAGCAATCAGTATCTGTTGGATTTTTAGGAAACAATAAATGAGAACAACATCTTCTGAGTATTTCAAATCTGCTGATTAATTTAAAAGATCTTTAACTAGCAGTATGCTCATTCAGGAATCTGCCTTTTTTTTTGTCAAAGTTCTCTTCTTGTGACTGAGCACACAGGTAAAGATAAAGAAAAGTGAAAATCCTGCATCTTAAGGAGCATTTCATCTCCCCTCCTTCCCTGTGTGTTCCCCCCTATGCCCCGTCCAAAAAACTGGACTAACAATTTCTATCTGTAACAGAATGAAAAGAATAACATTACTTTGAGATAGTGAGGACACAGGCTTGGGATACGGATGAAGACAATAGCCAAGGCAAGAACAGGGTGGGAGTTTGTGTTAACTGGGTGGTGTGCTAGACAGGGTTCAGGCTTTGCCACCTCCGTCTTCCTTTTTTTATGTGCAGTGGCTAGACAAACTGAGTTGTCACGGGATATGCCGTGGTTGCTGTGGTGCATGGGGGTACAGTAGTTCCCTGGTTTTCCTAGGGAGCTATCCCAAGAGAAGCTGGCCACGGGGAACAAAAGATAATTCTCTTGGGTTGTGTTGGAGTTGGGAGGGTTAAGGACTGGGATCAACAAAAGGACAACAGCAGTGCAGGGATTTGGCAGGATGCATGGAAGCATCCAGGGCTAAGGAGCACCTTCTGGCGGGTCTCCTTCAGGCACAAGAGAGAGAACAGGCTGAGCCAGCTGTGCTGAAAGTATTTTTGCAAGTATTTTTTGTGTATGTGGGATAAGTCATGCAAGTGATTACATATGTGGGCTGGAAGCTATTGCTGTGGATCTTTGGGGCAGGCCAGAAAATAATGACTTTATTTATATGTAAAGTGCAGAGGGAACAAAATCATTACGGAAGAGCAGGAAGCCTACCAAAATGTTTCCAGTTTGTATTTGAAAATAATGCAGCTCCCTTGATCCAGAGAGAAGTGCAAATCAGTGTGGCTGTCACCTGGCTTTCTTTTTCTTGAGCTGTCTCTATTTTATTTAGTACAGGAAGTGCAGAAAGATCTCTTTTGTTTACTGGCACAGACCAGAGCTTCATTCTAGCTGGGTGCCTAACCATTTGCTGCAGAAAGACAGAGCTTGTTTCCTTTCTTCCTCTCCTTCCTCTCCTTCTTCTCCATCCTCTCTTTTCTATGTCTCCCTTTCTCCCTTTCTCTGTTTCCCCCTTTCCCCCTGTGAAAAGAGGATATATTCTCATGCTATCTTTGTGTGGATCCAGGATGTAGATACAATCTCCTTCCACGGAAGATTGTTACTGGGTGCTGTCTTCTCCAGGCCAGATCTGTGTTTGTTCTGAGCATTCACAGACTGAAAAATAAAGTGTGCCTGGACTTCACGAAGTTTTGGAGCTGATGGTACAGAGACTTTGTCTCTGGCATTGTAGATGACATTTTGTGGTGGATCATTTCAAAATCACAAGTTATTTAGTAAATATCATTATTAGCATGCTATCATCATTTATTGCAGCTTTCTGTTCTGCTTCTGTGCAAAAAACACACCTGTCAGTTTACATTTACTGAGGGGACAAACTCTGTCCTCAGGGCCAGCTGGAAACCATTTGCTTTGTAGATTGCAGTTTCCTAAACAAGTAAGAGGTACCACAGTACACTGACATTGAGTTATTGACAGAAAATGATTGCTGTGCTCTAAAGCTGGTTACTGTGGGCTTGACCTACCAGGAAATAAATGTTTCAACAGACCCTTTCCAGAACTGAAAATTCAAAAAGTTACTAGTGAGACAGTGTCAAAGTAAAAGCTTCGCTTTTGTTCTTCTGATATGAACCTAAACCCTATTAATGCATAATAATTCATTCAATATTTAATTTTTTATTCTAACAAGTCATATAGTTCCATTTCTTTAAATACTTTTTGTGAGCTGTATCAGAATTCCTTAAGTTTTTAAATTAGATTGAGTTTTGAAGTTAAGGAAATAATCCACATGTCCAAATGAAACAGACTTTTTATTAGAGAAGCCTGTGATAGATCTGCCTGTAATTATCATGGGATGTAAGCATTTGAAGGCATGTGGTGTATGGAAGAAATTTGCTATTGAAAAGAACCTATACAGTTCTGTTCTTTAAAAAGCTGTTGTAAGTCCTTGAATTCTGAACTACCTAAATATCTTTAAAATGAATATGGCTATAGCATGCTCCTAGGGTTCCAGAAAAAAAATATAGCCAGAAAAGCTGATTTTTAAGAATTGTTTTAAGTGGTGTATATGAAGTGAATGCAGACATCTTGTGAGACAACCGCATATTTTGAGGAGCTGGCAAATTGCTTGAATGCATTACCTATGCAATTAAATGCTAGTGGTAAAAGCCGCATTATCAGTGATTTTCCTACTTGATTTGTCCTTCTCTAGCTAAAGAAATTATAGCCCTTGGATAGCTTCTATAAGTTGAAACTTTTTTTTCTTTTTAAATCTTGGTAAAATACTCTTGCTATTTCTGCTTATTTCTTTTAATTGAACTTAATTTCTGTGATAAAAATGGGTTCTAGCAGATACAGTTTTTAATCCTGTTCATTTCAGTAGAACTGCACAGAATGTAAATCAGGATAAAAGCTTCTCCTAAGGAAGGAGTATTTCCCTTAATGAAACATCCTTTTTATTAGAAAATCCCTTTTTGATTCTAACAATTTTTTAGTGACTAATTTATTATAGAGCGCATTTCAGTATAACCAAATTAAACCACGGTAACATGAACTCTGGTAATCAGAGAATAGTTAGGGTTGGAAAGGACCTTAAGATCATCTAGTTCCGACCCCCCTGCCATGGGCAAAGACACCTCACACTAAACTATCTCACCCAAGGCTCTGTCCAACCTGGCCTTGAACACCTTGTTCCAACAGTTCCATGTCCTTTTTATGTTGAGGACACCAGAACTGCACACAATACTCTAAGTGAGGTCTCACGAGAGCAGAGTAGCGGGGCAGGATCACCTCCTTTGACCTGCTGGTCACGCTCCTTTTGATGCAGCCCAGGATACGGTTGGCTTTCTGGGCTGCAAGCGCACACTGAAGTCGGCTCATGTTCATTTTCTCATCGACCAGCACCCCCAAGTCCTTCTCCGCAGGGCTGCTCTGAATCTCTTCCCTGCCCAACCTGTAGCTGTGCCTGGGATTGCTCTGACCCAGGTGTAGGACCTTGCACTTGTCATGGTTAAACCTCATGAGGTTGGCATCAGCCCACCTCACAAGTGTGTCAAGGTCCCTCTGGATGGCATTCCTTCCCTCCAGAGTATCAATTGAACCACACAGCTTGGTGTCATCGGCAAACTTGCTGAGGACGCACTCAATCCCACTGTCCATGTCAGCGACGAAGATGTTGAACAAGACCGGTCCCAACACCGATCCCTGAGGGACACCACTCGTTACTGGTCTCCAGCTGGACATTAAGCCATTGACCACAACCCTTTGCATGCAGCCAGCCAGCCAGTTCTTTATCAACCAAGTGATCCACCTATCAAATTGATGTCTTTCCAACTTAGAGACAAGGATGTCGTGTGGGGCAGTGTCAAACTCTACACATGTAGTCACTCTTCACTACTTCACTATGTTGATTACCAGAAGTGAAACAAAATTTGCAATTACCTCCTTACTTTTACAAATGCTTTATGTGTATTGCTTCTGAGTACAACATTCATTTGAGTCTCAAAACCTCTATTTGACTCAAGATTTCCCTTGTGCCAGTGCAGTCTGAGTGAAGTCTGTACTGAGTATGCATTATTTTTTCTGGATCATATTTCAAATCATATCTCATATACTGCTATAATGAAAACCAGGTTTTATTGTATGCATCATTGTATGGAAAGTTGTATAACTAATATGGAAGTACTTATGTTCTATAAAACACATTGGCATCTTTGGTATGTTTTCACTCTGACATCTTGCTATTAAAGTATATATATTAAGTGCTAAGCTCTTTGAAAATGTGTATTAATAAGAAAAATTCCTCTTCAGTGACAAGTTATGGGATAAAAGTAGAAAGTTCTTTTTGTATTTTCACTACCAACTAATTAACATACCAGGTTTAAACTTTTGCATAGATGTATGATAGTGCAATTAGAAAATTAATTACATGATGAGCATAAAGTTTTCCTTATAGAAAAGTTTCTTTAGGAAAGTCATGTAGGATTGTATTAACTGTGTTCCTTTCAACTGGTTTCTTTTTCATACTCAGAACATTTAAGTGTTGCATTTCATGTCAGACATTTGTATTTCAACACATGATGTAGCATTTCAGTTCTGCAAATGATTATGGATATTGGAATTTTTAGTATGTAAATAATCCAGCTGTCTTATATAAATGTCTGCATATGCTTTTTGTCTTTGAGTCTTAAATGCATCTTGCATTTTCACATGGTTATAATATAATGCGTGTCTGCTTCTACAGCAAAGACATTCAATTTTACTGTATTTTCCCTTATTTAATTTTACCAAGTTTCTTCTAAGATAAAACATTAGCATTCTCTTGGCAGAAATACCATTTGACAATTGGTCATAAAAATGGCAGGTGAGGAGCTATGGCACAAGCTTGCCAAATGTCCTTTTCATTCAGTCTCTTACTTTTATGGCCTGACACTGCTGTGTTTATGATTATTTAGCAGGACAAGACCTTTTTAAAACGCTGTAATTTAATTTTTCAATATGTTGCTTAGTGGTAGCAGTATATTTTGAAATATTTACCTATATAAAATGGACTACCAGTATAACTTGTATATTTTTTTCTACCATAATATAACACATTTATTTTAATATTCTGAGATTAAAGATTTATAGATATCTTTACCAAATTAAACTAGTTAAGTTAAAAAGACCTCTGAGGCAGAAAATACAAAAACTCTTCAAAGGTAATTTAAATTGAATTTAAAAGTACTATAGTTAGTCTACAAAGCTTTAGTCCAAATTATATTGTCTCAAGTAGGCTTAGGAGAGGTGTTTGAACAAGTGTTGTTTTAAGGTAGGTGAAATAGAACTGCTGATAGTGCATGAAAAATCCTCAGGTTTGAAACATCCCTCTCATTCTTTATCATAGCTTGAATTGATGAGCTTTTAAGCAAAGCAGTATTTTCATAACTCTTTGTTAAGGCTGTTAATGAGTAATTATTGACATTCTGCTATAAAAGGTATGTTTAAAGTCCTAAGAAAGAAGTTTTTAATTTTAAAATAGGTCTTCTTGTTTAGGATAAGTGAATATGTATCATTTAATACATCAGTGCTTCTTACTGAATAGGTTTAATATCATGTATGTCTGTTTGTCTTATATAGATTTTCCGCTACGTAAATTTGGTTGATCTGGCAAGATGTGCTCAAGTTAGTCAAATGTGGATGCTGCTGACTCAAAACAGTTCATTATGGAGTGATGTAAGATAATCACAATATTCTATTTCAATTTTATTTATTTTAAACAAGAGTGAGACAAGGAGGTAATTTAATTTAAGAATGCTAGAAGTTTTATCCCCAAATATGACTTGTTCTACCCAACAACATGAATTAAAAAACACGAGCAACTCAAATAAAATTGTGTGTGGTATACCATTATAAAATCAGTGGAAGTGAAAAAGAATTGGCTACTAAGACTTGGCTTAATTTAGACAGTTAAGTGTCTTAGGCTTAAGATCCATTTGGGATCCAGAAGGTGAACAGAGCTGTGCCTTGCAAGGCTAAGAGATCTGAAGTCCCATATTTGCTGTTTGGGAGTTACATGTTCCCTAAGTGGGATATAGCACTATAGGCACATACAGTGACTGAGGGAAAGAAATTCTGGAGGTCTCAACAATGCTCTGCTTGCATGTCATACTGTCTGGTTCTAAGCAGCTGCCTGTTCTCTGTGTGTTTCTTTAAACTGACCTTCTGATGTGCTTAGATGTCCCATATACGTTTTGTAGAGTCTTTGCTCAGATTTGAGTTGTTGAATCTACCCTTCGGCATCAACACCTAAAAGATCAGCTTGTAGTGCCTGGAGTCTTCATTAGGTCTGGTCTTAAGTTCCTGTGATGTATTAATAATCTTAATGAAACTAGTATTAAAAATTCTGATAATTTTAATGTAAGAAGAAAAAAATCCTAATAAGAAAGTGAAAAAAACCCAGAAAAAGTTCCTGGTATTGTAGCCACTTCTAAGCCTTATGAATAGAAATAATAGTAATTGTTTTTTCGAAGTATTTGGGTAATAAACATGTATTATGAAATATACAGCAAACAGACGTAGTGTGGCTTTAGCAGATTATACAAAAGGGGGTAAAAAGCTTTTTCTGGCCTTTTTATGAACAAATTGAAAGAAGATATGAAAAAGTCTTCTCCAAAAAGGAGATATTTCTTATTAAAGAAATAATAAATATTGGTAGATAGACTGTTAAAACTATTTTCCAGTATTTTTTGTTAAAACTTCTTGAACTTCTGACAGATATTTAGAAAAAGAATGGTTTTAGTCAAGGATTTAGATATCCCCACCATGCAACTTGCATAATTTTAAGGACTGTTCTACTAAAACTAAGGTGGTGGATTATGTAGTCTTGATATCTCAGTGTATTAGCAGACCATTAACTAGAAAAAGAAGTATCTTTGGCAACTTTAGGATTCCATGAAGTAAATGTTCCAGTCTAACAATTTTGTTTGCACGTAATATTCTGACATGTCATATTTTGGTAGTTCAAGACTTGTCTCAGCTCCATAAATACTGTAGACACAGACTTCCCCTACATTTAAGTATTTTCAGTCGCTGTCTAGATTTTTATCTATGTAATACACAGACATTTCTGTGTTTTGCTGATTATTGATTCAGTGTTTGCATAACTGTGTTGTATTCAGTAGTGATTTTGATAATTATGTGTCTTTGTGTATACTATTTTTAGAACTGAATTATAACTCGTTTAAATTTTTAGATCAATTTTTCCTCAGTGAGGCATAAAGTTCAGGATGAAATGGTAGTGAATGTTTTGCAGAAGTGGTGTCCATATGTCTTACATTTGAATCTTCAAGGTTGCTCTTCTCTTCAGTGCCCTACCTTTAAAAGTATCAGTAAGTATTACATGCATTTATTAAATTTAATCCCCTCTTTAAACTGTGTCTTCACTCTCTGCTTTACTATTGTCCAGTTTTGCTGCCTATATTCTTCTCTATGTGTACAGCCATGATGAAGCAATGTGACTATGAGGCATGTAAAATTACTTTAAAGACAGCCCATTCCTTCATGGCAGTCTCCAGCCCCAGCAATCTCCATATGACTGAACATTGCTGCAATGCCAATAGAATGTTTATGTTGTGTGTGAAATGCTGTAATATGACAAATAAGATTGGAATGCAAATGTGCTTAAATATATCTGAATGCCAGAATCCAGCTCTACTGAGATAATTGTCACAGAATCACAGAGTGCCTAAGGTTGGCAGGGACCTCTGGAGGTCACCTGTCCAAACCATCTGCTCAAACAGGGCTGGCTCCATCTTCTTTGCACGCACCCTTCATGTATTTATATATATTGGTAACAGTCCCCTCAGCCTTCTCCAGCTGAACATTCACAGCTCTCTCAGTCTTTCCTTATAGAAGATATGCTCCAGTCCCTTAATCATCTTTTTGCCCTCAGTTGGATAATCTTCAGTATGTCCATGTCTCTTGTACTGGGAACCCTGAAGCTGGACATGGTACTCCAAGTACAGCCTCACCAGTGCTGAGTAAAGGGGAAAGGTCACCTCCCTCAAACTCCTGGCAATATTCCTCCTAATGAAGCCCAGGATACCATCCGCCTTCATTGTAACAAGGGCACACGGCTGGCTCATGTTCAACCTGGTGTCCACCAGCACCCTCAGGTCCTTTTCTGCCAAGCTGCTTTCCAGCTGGGCTGCTCACAGCATGTATGCATGGGATTGTTCCTACCCAGGTGCAGGATTTTGCCGTTCTCCATGTTGTACTTCATGGGGTTCCTACAAGCTCATTTCTCCAGCCCATCAAGGTCCCTCTGGATAGCAGCATGAGCCCCTGGTGTAGTAGCCACTGCTCCCAGTTTGATGTCAAATGCAAACTTGCTGAGCATACAGTCTATCTCATCATCCAGATCATTAATGGAGATGGTCTAGTGTGAGGTGTCCCTGCCCATGGTAAGGGGGTTGGAACTAGATGAATTTAAGATCTTTTCCAGCCCTAACCCCTAACCAATCTGTGGTTCTATGTTAAACAGAACTGGACCCAGTATTGACCCCTAGGGTGTACTGTTGCTGGTCCCAAACAAGAAACTCACAGCCATACACACACAAAAAAAGAGTCCAAACATGGTCCAAGACATTAATGTGGTGTTTCAGTTTTAGCACAAATAATAGGTGCTTGACTCTGCTGCCAAAACAGAGTCCCTCTGGAAGTAGAAAAGCATCTTACTCCTTCCTGAGAATATGTGCGGAAGTTCATGTGACCATGTGATCAGATAGCATTTTGGAATAGTTTCAGGTCAGTAATCTTCTCAATGCAACTGCATTCTCTGGCAGAGAAGTGGGGAGGGAGAATAAAAGCTTTTATGGTCAGTGTTAGAGGGTCAGTGCTAGCTGTGAAATTACCCTGCATCCTAACTGTCATTCAGACATTTTATCCTGAAGAGTGTTAAAACATCCTGGCAGCGTTTTCATGAGAAAAAACTCTTTTGCTACAACTAGGCAAGGTCCCAGGCAATGATTTTGGTTACTGTCACAGCTTTACTTCAGTTCATCCCTGACGGTGTTCAAGGCCAGGTTGGATAGAGCCTTGAGTTACATGGTTTAGCGTGAGGTGTCCCTGCCTATGGCCAGGGGTTTGGAACTAGATGATCTTAAGGTCCTTTCCAACCTAACTGTTCTATGATTCTATGATTTCTGAAGCAGGCAAATGTTACTGATTTATTCTTTTCTAACCTACACTTTAACTGAATGCAAATTCATAGAAAAGAAAAGGAAAATGCCTTTATTTTCCAAATCAAAATTGTATTTTGATTTTTTGAGACTATAATGGATTTATTATTTAATCAGATAGCACATGATTGAAATTGTTGATGCAGCCTATAACAATTTCAGTGTGTTTTCATTTGGTTTAGAAAGTGACTGTGTAATTATGGGTGAGAACAATTTGGTCTCTAGAGTGGTGGCAGAAAAGAACAATTGGCTAAAATAAAAAGAGTATTTGATCACGGTCTTGGCTTTTAAATTGCAGGAGAAAAGACCATTCTCAATGATATCAGCATGCAAGTTGTTTAGTGAAATAATTTAATTTAATGTTATAATGAACTTTGGCAACTAATAAAACAAGGATGACAAATCATACACAGCCATGTTGCCTCTATTATGGGGGCCTGTATTTAGAAAGGTTAAAACCTGTTCTGATTCTTTTTTCCTTATGTATTTGAGTACAAAGCTAAAACCATAATAATGTTTATTGTATTTTAAGCTAAAAACATGTAAAGTTGTGGTAGAACAAAACTTTATATACACACGCTGTTTTCTGTTGCATTGTTTAACTGATATTAAACATATTAAACTGTTAATTAGTAAATAATAAGTATTAATATATTAAAATAATTTAACTTAGAAATATCAGCATGTTGATTATATCAGTTGGAATATCAGCATGTTGATAGCCATCCTTTTCCATTTATATTACATATCAAAGACACTAAATTAAATTTGTGTATTTACAAATTATGTATTTTTTTCATTTTTGTTGATATTTTAGTTTTTTTTCTGTAGGCTCAAAATCAAAGATTTTGTCTATTTACGTCTACTCAGTGCTATTAAACTAATTGTGCTGAATCGTGTGTGATGGTCCACAGGGGCTTTTAAAAACACTGATTTATAAAGCTGTTTCTTCTAACTTTGAAGACACCCAGTAGTTCTTTTTAACAATGAAACACATTTATGTGAGCGTAGTATTGCTATTTAGGTTAATTACGTATTTATTTTGTTAAACCTCATTGGTCATACAGCCTACTTTTGCCATTCTTTTGAAGCTCTTGTGGATGGTTTAAAATTGCTGCAAGACTATTTTGGTTTTTTTTTTCTTAGTGATTCTAAATCCTACTGAAATTCTGTTCCTCTGACATTTCTTCAGCTAACAAACTGTGTTGAACTGTCTGTTCAGTTACAGGCTACAGATATGATGAACCTTTCCATTAGAACTTCCCCAAGCTACAGTTCTGACCTCATCTTTTCAAATAAATCCAAGATTACACAGATTTTGGCAGCCTGTTTTTATTGTTAATGGTAAAAAGCCATGATATCAATTGGGGTTTTAGGTCTGTTTAGCTGGCTAATCATGTTAATATTCTTTTTTAAATTAATTAGCTGCTACTTTTAAATGTTGTTTTTATGTACTGCAACTTTGCTATGTGGTATGTGCATGAAATAATAGTCATTGTTTAATGCCTACATACGAATGTTACACGATTCCAGCTCAGACTCTTTGCGAAATAAATGTTTCATTTTGCCAAAGAAAAAATGAGTGTATGAGATGCATGGGTTACAGCTCAGCTGCTTGTGGTGTTACTCCACCCACTCAGTGATTTTAGAGAATCATTAGACTTCCATGTGCGACTGGGAGCTGTGTTTAAAAGCTGCCATTCATATTCATACGGCAGGAGCTACGATTTCCTCAGAGCCTTTTGAAGCTTTTTATTGCCACTAGTGTCACAGGATTGACAGACCTGTCTCTTTTCTTACACTCTGTCATGGCAAAACATGGGTCAAAAGAGTTTTTTCTGTGTTTCATATGTGCTGTGTAGAGAGAAGGGCACTGTGTCTGCAGAGTACTGTAGTTTACCCTTTAAGGCAGTACATAAAATGCATATCAGGAATAAAATGTACTATCATGCAATTATTTCTTGGATTTGGAGAGAGAGAGAAGGGGAATCAAGACAGAAATTACTGAAAGGACTTAAAAAGCATATAAAGGAAGAGGGGCGTCCATGATTTTCTTTTATACGTGGAAGGGCTTCTGGGATTCTGTGATTAAATTAGTACAGAAAGAAAGAAATGTCAGCGTTAAATTGTGGTTTGTGACTGTGGTGTTTCATGGAGGGTTTACTTCAACTTACAGTGCATTTCAGAGAAATAGTAATTAACCCTGTAATGCTGAAGGTTTTATTGTTAGTCATTGTCTCCATATGTGTTTTTCAAATATATTTTTGTCTTTTTCCTTGGGCTGCCTCCTCCTGTGCTACCTTCATAGTTCCTCTATACTTTTCTAGTTCATACAATCGCAAAGAATGCGCTCCTTGAAAGGTGGGTCGGTGCAAACCTCATGAAGTTCAACAAGGCCAAGTGCAAGGTCCTGGACCTGGGTCAGGGCAAACCCAAGCACAACCACAGGGTGGGTGGAAACTGAATTGAGAGCAGCCCTGAGGAGAAGGACTTGGGGGTGTTGGTTGACAAGAAGTTCAATATGACCTCGCAGGGGAATGGCTTTAAACTGACAGAGGGGAGATTTAGATTAGATATAAGGAAGAAATTCTTTTCTGTGAGGGTGCTGAGGCGCTGGCACAGGTTGCCCAGAGAAGCTGTGGCTGCCCCATCCCTGGCAGAGTTCAAGGCCAGGTTGGACACAGGGGCTTGGAGCAGCCTGGTCCAGCAGAAGGTGTCCCTGCCCATGGCAGGGGGTTTGGAACTGAAAGATCTTTAAGGTCTCTTCCAACCGAAAAAATTCTATGATTCTATGTTAAATTCATTTTTTCCTACTCAGCTTTTCTCCATTGGCTGTGCTGCTAACAACAGATATTCTGCGGTGGTTCCATTGTCTGTCCTTTTCAATCATGCTCAGTAGTTCCATTCCGTACTGAAGTAATTCCCTGGAACTTGAAAGGAGGAGGAGGATAAGCGCTTCACTTAATGCTGGCTACTGCTTATGAGAGATTTTTTTTCTTTCATCACTTTCAAGTTTCAAGAAAATGCCCCATCTATTGAATATTACTGACCAAATGGGATTTTCATCTGTGTTCCATAATTAAGATAATGCTTAAGATATTCCCAGGAGCAGGGATGAGTCAGATACTGTTGGTTTTGCTATGAAGTTT